GTCCATTATTAAATAATATACTGTCTCTACAAGAGAGACAATTTTTTACCTTGTATTTGATAAGAACGCCATTTGTTCTGGTGGACATCAGCTTCAGGGCCAGTAAATCTGTGTTTCTCTGATCTATTTTCTCTAAATACTGTTTATTCTCAATTTCCAACTGATCAAAGTCCACCTTGTGTAAAACTTCACCCATTTCTTCTTTCTATATTGTCAAAAGCAACTTGTTAGTTATTTATTTCATTCAATTTTGTAGACTTTTTTTTTTCAAATCATGCATTTACACTGTAAGTACATTTTTACTCTCATGCAATGTGATTTTTAAACTGAGAAAATTTTTTTGTTCAAGAAAAACATGAAAACAAAACTATGTCATACCTGTTTTAGCTGTAAATCTAGTTTCTTTTTCTGTACTTTTAATGTAGAATTCTTCAGACGAAGCTTCTCAATCAATGTGTCCTATAAATATAATTTAACTGTCAGCATTACATTTGTCAAGTAGAAACTCATAGAAACCAATATAACATTGAAAAATGAGAAAAATTATTGAATCATAATCCAACAATTAATCCAGATTAAACTAAATGAATAGTCCATCTAATTACCCTGGATCTATTTTTTTCATCCAGATATCTGATGACCTTCTCAGCTATAACTTTTCCAGTTCTCGGATTCATAGCACCTTTTACTATATCTCTTTCAAATTCGTAACTTTCTTTTTTTGTCTCTGCTAACCTAAGATCAGCTTCTTCCATAATGGCCTGTAAAAATTTTAGCACAAATATAAATGATATTTCTAAGAATAAATAATGCAGTCAATTCCATAAATTAAGGGAAACTGTTAGAAAAGAATTTTTTTTTTATTTTCAACAATTTACTACACTAAATGATTTAGTAAATGCCATAAAAAATACCTTATATGTATCAAGAACTTTCTCACAGTTTTCCTTTAACTGTTCAATCTCATCCTTGAGATCATCAATTTCTTTCTGTGCAATGTCACATTTTTGTTCTGTTGTAAGTCTAAGAGATGTGTTGATGTTGCTTGTTCTGGATTTTGACCTCTTTCTACCGACGCCCCTCCCCACTTCCTGTTGTGAGCCTGAAGGTGTTACCCCACTTGGCATACCAGGACTAGGAAGTCCTAAGGTGTCTTTTGGCTCATTTCTTTTGAGATATTTCTCAAACATTTGAGTTTCTGTTTGTAAAACTTCATTTTCTTTCCTGCAAACAGACACAAAGAATTCAGTTTTCACTTTTCTAGGGAGACTTACTGATGTATATACTCAGGGTTGTCCCTAAGACCCAGGGGCCTGGGAATTTCCCTGCCTATAACCCCCCAGTTATTCTGTAATCCCGTCTTAACCCCCTGTTAGGAGAGGAACCCCAAACCCTCTTCTATTATTTCTAATGTCCCTGCTATTTCAATTCTTAGGGACAACCCTGATACTGAATTCACCATTTCTGCCAAATTTTTGTAATGCAAATGATTACATGTATATTAGTAATTAAATCAAGTTGATTGACTGAATCTAAATCAAAAGAAATGTTATATGAATGGCATGGTGTCATACTATTTAATTATGAAGTATTCATTTTATTTTCCACTGTGTCATAAATCATACATCTTAAGGCACTGCTTAATTTCACAGTACAAGAAATGTTCAAAGTTCTTGCCACTGATAAAGTAAAGGGAAAAGATATATAATAATCCATAGTTTTTAGATTTTATTGTAATCTTGCCCATTTCAATACTTTTCTCTTGGGATATGAACAAGTACTGTTTAGATCAACAGGGCTAAAATTATAGCGATTTCAGCGAGCTCTTAAAGCAATGCCTGGGTGAATAAAAAATTTGGACTGCTGCACATTTTTTTCACATTAACCTATGCACCCTCAATGCACCAAAAATAGACTGTTTTTCGATAATTACTTTACTGCTCTTTGGCTCACTTTCTCATGATAACCAAAGAAGAGTTAACAAATAAAAAAATCACTCACTGTTGCATTAATGGAAATTGCAGATACATGTAGCAGATTAGGCCAGGATAAATAAATAGTGTGTTTCCTATTCCAACCTAAGAAAAAATAGGGTAGGTAGGTAGGGAAAACATTTTATTTTATTTTAACATTTTATTCTTTAAAATTCAACAGGGAAATCCCTGTCAAAACATTTCCAATAAATGTGTATATGATGTCCATTTTCTCAAACATGAAAGTGGATCCAGATTAGGATTTCTATTTGGAAACCAGATGTGTTTACTTCCAGAGAGATATTGGCAGATAAATTTTTCAGGGTCAGCTTATATATTTTAGGGTCGGTCGGGGAACCGGAAACACACAATTTATTTATCTAGGCCTTAGATATTTGCCTTTTTTAGACTTCTTTATGGAAATGCAACTAACATATGAAGTCAAGTGACATCAAAATCTACACATGTGGTTTGAAGACGCGAATCTAAGTTTTAAATGGTATCCAGTAATAAATTGTACATATGTAATGGACTGGGTGATATTGGCCTGGATCGCTCAGTTGGTAGAGCACCGGATTAGTGATGCAACGGTCCCAGGTTTAATTCCTAGTTCAGCCATATATTTTCTATATTCCTGTTACAGATTTGGTGCTGTTGACCCCCCCCCCCCCCCTAGACTTGGGTTGTTACAGATTTGGTGCTGTTGAACTTGACCACCCCTGGACTTGGTTTGTGTCTTTGAGAACCAAGACAATTTAGGGAGGGAGGAATGTAATGGTTTGGGACATGGATATCCATCTGAATAGCTCAGTTCATAGCGCACCTGTCTAGTCATGCAGGGTCCCGGGTTCGATTCCCAGTCCAGCCATACATTTTCTCCCTTACTGTTACACTCAACTGCGCTCGCCCCAATGCAACGGTCGCACCGTCAACATATATTAGGGATAACAGGGGAAATTTGAGCTTGTTAACTTTAGTGACACAAATTCTTTCATACAAATTGCCTTCTAAATGTTTTATACAAGAAACTTTACCACTGAATGTAAATATTCACTGATAACACAAGGCCTAACACCAATCTTGCAATTCATGGCATATTCAACGTTTGCATAAAATACAATGAATTTAATTTGAAAATGTTATAAAAATTATATATTTACATAGTTTCCTCTACATGATGGTATAGTTGCTCGTCTGAAAAATCATTCAGAGGATCTACATCAACATCTTTATCATCATCTATTGTCGCTGGTGACTCCGCCATTTTCGTTTGCGGTTGCTAATAGAAACATCCGGGCACTTCTTCGCTTGTAATCAGAGTAATTTGTACAAGAAATAAGTCGAAACCTAGCTCCTTCCACTTCAAATTTGTTAGGACACACGGAAAAAACGTATAATTATACAATCATGAAATGGGTTTTCTAAAAAAAAAATCGTAAAGGTCTCATATGACTGTAAATAAGAGATTAAGTAATGGATATGGGGAGGGGGGTTCAAAACAGTTTCATAAAGGGGAAGGGGGGGGGGGTATTGATGCTTCAAAAAAAGTGTCATGAAGACTACGATGTAACTCAAATACAAAAAAATCTACAAAATACTGATTTTGGGGAGGGTGTTTCTTATACTATTGGTTACAAGTTTGAAAAATCAATTGCTTAAAAAATCGATTAATATGCTCCAGAAGATCAGTTAAAAATCTTGTTAATATCTAATAAATCACCTTATAAGGCCTTCCCCTCCTCCTCCTCCCAAATCGGGGAGATGGTTACGGTGGCCCCAAACTCCGCCGGTCCTGCTTCACCATGGCGTCTATATCAAATGCCCACTTAATTAGCTACATGCCTGAAAATTTAAAATAGGCTTATGTGTTGGATCGACATGTGTTCTACACATTTGGTTATAATATAATCATTAAAGAATATATTAAGCGTATTTCTTAAAAATAATAAATATAAAATGAAATAAACAACAAACCATCACCCCCCCCCCTTTTCAATGCATCAAAACTTGGATACATAAAAATAGTGATTATAAATTGGATGTTTATATCATTAGATCACTGAAGGTTATTATCAAATGTATAATTTATCAGAGTTTCTTTGCTGATTATTCAAAATGATCGACCAGGTTTTGAAAAGAGGTTTTGTGTCAGTGCTACGAGATACCAGTCGTAGGATATACAAGAAAAGATGCGTGTTCGATTAGCTATACTTTTTCAACGAATGTAGGTCTCACGTTAAAAAGTGTAAATAACTATGTACATCTTATTGTCAATTCATTTTTTTTTTTAAATTAATCTTTTAAATAACGAGACGCGTATAAAGTATTAAAAACTTTAACCACCTGCAGTCTCTCTAATCTTGACACTTAGTGTCGATACGAATTGTGCTCCACGCCTTCTGTTCTACAAATACTGCACATTGTTTACTGTACAAGGAGCAGGGTTAATCTTATCGAGATCTTCATCTGTTTGAAAATAGAAATGCACTATATTATACTGTGCTCCCGCTGTTCGCTAGGATGTAACTTTGGGAGCGTAACCCAAAAAGATTAGTGCCCAAAATCCTCATGTGTCATGAAATAACTCATGTGTTTGCATTTTATCATAATATAACAGATGGTAGTGATGAAATTTTCTACACAGCTGATAATCGATCCTACATTATAATATACAAGTATTTTAGGCCAGTCTTAATACATTCAGCAATGAAATGTATTCAATAATTTGGTAGAATTTAATTCGCACATGAACATGGAGAGTTTGAAAAAACAAAAATAAAGAGTAAAACAAATACATTCCAAAAAACATTTCAGAGACATTATCCCATCATTTTTATATTCAAACCTCTACCACATGTCTACTATAGTTACTAATTAAACTTGTAAACACAATTTAATTTTTATTCTTAAATCTACTGCATTAGATCATTTTAAATATACATATATATTAATATATATATCTATGTAAATTCGAGACAAAAAGTACATTGTAATGTGCAAAGGGAGAAAACCCAACCTTTCTCGTCTCGTTCTGAGTTGGTGGCGCCATACCGCATTGGCAGCCATTTTGAGAAGTTGCGAAGAAAAAGCGAAGACTTTGCCTTTCGTATTGATGAGGAATGTCGTTTTATATACACAGTTTACGTGTTCTGAATTCAATACTTTAAGCTTATAAGTCTGTACAAAAGGTTTCCCCTTAAGTTTAATTTTGAATTGGTTAGCCAAACAGAAATCATTCGTTTCCCTGTGATTGTGTTGAACAGCCAGTCTTGGTTGGTTTGGACACGAAATCGTGCATTGTGGAAAATTTCGTGCATTTAAGCCTAAAGATTCCATTCGAGAGGGATCATGCCTCTCAATACCCCTGTTGAAAGTCGAGCACGAGTCTATGCAGATGTGAACACGCACAGATCAAAAGAATATTGGGACTATGAAGCACATGTAGTAGAATGGGGGTGAGTGTGTCATAAAGCTAAACTTTTGTACATATTTGTAGTTGTATCTATGTATCATTTATTTGTTGGGGTAAAAGGATGGTGATGCTATTGTCATGCTTAGAGAGAAAAAGATGTTATCTTTTTCTTTTGTAGAATGACTAATGCATGTGCATTCATTTACTCAGCAAGCATCCTACATAACATGCAGTGTAGCAAAATGGTCTGCACCAAATCATTTGCAAGAAATATAAACAACATTGCCAAATAAGACACTGTAAGCCTTTTTAAGTATGCAATTGTCCATCTATTCAAAACTTCAAAATAACCAGGAGTCTGATGACTGGTAAAGTTGCTGGCAGGTACGTAGCATACACACGAGGCCCACCAGGCACATGAAACATTTTGTCAGTTTTGGAATAATTATTCACTGTGTAAACACATTCTGACAATGGATTGCTGCTCTATATTTTGGAACAACATGTCAGTTCATGTCGATCGTAACCGCACAATGTCCATTGAAATGCTAGGTTCCATGTTGCTGGTGGATGAAGAAATTCATTAGACGTGCCCGCTGGCATATATGGTTCATTTTCCCCTTTATCCCTGTCTATAAGCACATTTACATAGTGGATTACCAGTTTATATTTTTTGGTACGACCTGGAACTGGTTGCAACCAATAATTCCATGGAATATATTTTTTTTCCCAAGGCCACTTATTTTTAGTTGTGTGTTTTGGTATATTCTTTTCCAAAAATTGGGACATATAGTTGGTAAAAGCGTAGAATTAAAGGGAAACATGGTAAATTTATTAAATTGATTTAGGATTTATCATAAATAGAGGTGTAACGATGCAGCAATATATGGATCGTATTGATTGCAAGGGCTCACGATATGCATATCATATCGCCATGCATGTGTCATGATACAGTACAAGATAATTTTCGTTGTTTTGTTTGAAACTTCTACATACAACCTAACAAATTTTAATGTTTTAAAATGGCTGAAAAAAAGGTAGCAAAGGAAAAAATACAATGCCAAGACTATAAATCCACGTTTATTAACTTTGGTCAGGGGTATCAAGATATTATTTTTGTATTTTCTATAACTTTGAGGTTAGCAAAGAATAATATGTTAAGATAACAGTCAATTCAATTGTTGACAGCTGTACCATGATACATGTTGTATCGCATGACCGTATTGTGATATGTTTCGTATCGTTAGCTAGCTTGCAATACTCAGGCCTAAATTCATAAACACCCTCCCCTCTACCTTTCCAAAAATTCTCTCAATCAGCATGATCAAAACTCTGAATATCCGTCCTGATTTCTTGAATAAATACCAATGATCACTCCATGGTTTGCTGGTATTGACCTGTGTTTTAATAAGGCTAAAAAAATGTGTGTTTCCGGTAACCCGACCGGCCCTAATTTCTATGCACCAACCCTACTACTTTTTATGCCAAATCTGGATTTTGAACTGTACTTTTCTTCACTGGTACAGTTTTCTCATAGTCAGTTCAATAAAATGCTTGTCTTACACACTGCAAATATGTGACTATCCAAGTGTTTTAAAGAGTACACTTGTTTTGTTGTGTATGTTTATTCATGAATATGTATGTATACAACCAAAAAAAAAAAACCCATTATATTGAATAATTAACTGAAGGTTTCAAAATAAAATGTAAAGTTTATAAAAGTTATCACATACCTACCTACCGTAATTATTATAATTTTTTTTTTTTTTTTTTTTTTTTTTTGGAGGTGTTAATGGAAAAACACATATTTTTTTTTAATTGGCCTAACAGTGATGACAAAAAGTATAGAGTTAGAGATGCAAGAATTTTTTTTATTCCAAAGAAAAATAATGAATTCTGATACTAGGGCATATAAAATTGCTACAGTAAAACTTGTTTAGTACGAACATGGATATAGCGAATTTTTCTTGGAATTTTAATTGGCCTAACAGTGATGACAAAAAGTATAGAGTTAGAGATGCAAGAATTTTTTTTATTCCAAAGAAAAATAATGAATTCTGATACTAGGGCATATAAAATTGCTACAGTAAAACTTGTTTAGTACGAACACGGATATAGCGAATTCACGGATATAGCGAATTTTTCTTGGATCCCTAGCTATATAAATTTAATGAATTTCTTATACGGATATAACAAATTACAGATATAGCGAAGCAATTTCACAGGTCCCAGTGACTTCGTTATAACTGAGTTTTACTGTATGGGCTTTTTGGCTTGATAAAATTAAGTTATTAACAGTTATACTTATCTGTGTACATGTGTGAAGGGATGTGTTGAAAAAAAAATGTGCTGTGTAGACTCTAATTAAAAAAAAAAGACTAGTCAAAACATTTTCACATTTTTCCTTCAGTTTATCTGTCATACTGTTGTGTAGAGCATGTAAGAGTGGTATGCCCCTTATTATTTTGCTACATTTCAGGTTCATATCCTATTACGATGAATTTTTGTCATTAGAAAAGCTCAGTAAGACTACCATTTTAGTGGCAAAACATGCTGTAATATTTAAAATATTTAATGTTTTCATCCTTTAAAATAATTAGGATTATATTGACAATTTGATAAGGATATTTCTTGAAATGTTGCTTTAAGATATGGCAAATGTTCTTACATTACTGTTGTCTGTTTACATTGTAAAACCTAAATGAAGAACAGTTGAATTTAGGTATCTTCAACTTGGCTATCTCAAATACTGGCATGGATATGTCAAAGGTGAGATAGGAGACCCAACTGATATACAGTCAAACCTTTTTATTTGAAACTCCATGGGACGAGAAAAAACTTCAAGATATCCGATGATTCGATATATCGAGGGTAAAATACTTAAAGAATGAGTGGTTGGGACTTCCAAATCACTTCGACATATCCATGGTATTCGAGATGTCAGTATTCGAGATACTGAAGTTGAACTGTATCCCTACGTATTATCCTTGATATCTCACATTCTCAGATATCTCAAAGCTTTTGGATCCATTCAATTCAAGATAATGTTTGACTACAAAAGTGCATATTCTACGTAACTGTTGCACACTGAACAAAGTGACAATCAGTTTCAGTAAATATATCAATGTTTTCTTTTTCTTTTTTTTTACAGTCAACAAGATGATTACCAGATTGCTAGGAAATTAGGAAGAGGGAAATACAGTGAAGTGTTTGAAGCAGTCAACATCACTAACAATGAAAAATGTGTCATTAAAATTCTGAAGGTAATACTGAAATTCTCAGTTTGATAAAGGACCAGGAATGATAATAACAGTGTGTGTGGAACGGTATATTATGTCATTCTGATTATTTGGGTACACAATATATCACGGTACATGTACTGCTTACTATATGTTGACTTTGCTCAGAATTATGAATTACCAAAACTATTAGAAATTCAATAAAATATTGTTAACATTCATAGTTTTACCACACAAAATGCAGTTTTTGAATAACAATCTATGTGTGATTTCTAATCCTAACTTATTTTGATAAACCTAACAACCTCAGTCACCTCCTCCTAAGATGTATTCCACTGCAGCAAATGAGCATTTTTCTTTGTTGCAGTAAATTTTGACCACAATATATATTGCATTATGTCCAGTCGTGTTCACAATATTGTAGAACATACTGTTTCCATGTTTACTTTATTTATAGAACTTATCTTAATTTAAGTTTGTTTATTAAGTCTGTCATTCCAAAAATTTGTTGTTTGCAATGTCACTTCAGTAGACATTTAAATGCAATTTTAATCTTAAATTGAAACACGTATCTATTTAGTCATAAATGGTTCTTTTGTAATAAGTGTTGTTTCCAGTGAAGTTCATTCATTAACATTCAGATCTAATTAGCTTTGATTGTTGCTGTGACATGGCAGAAAAGTAGGTCACTATGACCTAATTCTTATTGTACTGTGAAATGTTTCCAGTGACATCTTGCACACTGAACGGCTTTGTTGTGAAACATTCCTCATAAGTTTCTGATGAATGGATGTAAACAACATAGATTTTATTCCTTAGTATAGTAAAACATGCTTATAGCGAACACTCTTATAATGAATTGATGCTTACAGCGAAGTGATTTTCATTCTTCATTGCTTTATAATATATCGAGAATTTAACAGATATAATGAATTACATTTATTACAAAGCAAAATTTTTCATCCCTGACACTTTATTATAAGTATGTTTTACTGTACATGCTGTGAATTTCATTGAAGAGTTTGTTCATGATAAATACTTGACAATTCATTGTAAATGATATCATCAGCAATTGTGTATTTTTAGCCAGTAAAAAAGAAGAAAATAAAGAGAGAAATCAAGATTCTAGAAAATCTACGAGGAGGAACAAACATCATCTCATTGTTGGCCATAGTGAAAGATCCCGTGGTAAGTGTACCACCTGTGATGAAAAAGTTCAACTGATAAGAATTTTTGAAAAAGTGTAACTGTGTTTCAGTATACTTCATTTCACATACATTAGTATAAATTGAATCTTTGTCAGTGCAATAATTTCATGCTAAAAATTAGGTATTCTGTATACGGTGTAAATAAAAACATTGTGAATTGGCAAGTGGGCATTTATTTTGCATATGTAGTTTGCAGTATTTGTTATTGTCTTGTTTTTTTCTTTTTTAGTCAAGAACACCAGCTCTTATATTTGAGCATGTAAATAACACAGACTTCAAGGTGAGTAGTGATATGTATTTTTTGACAGCAATAATTCAGACAGAAATTCATCTTCATTATGTTTCAACCTTTATATCATTTTTCTTTCATATTTTCTTCAATGGAGAAAAAAAAATAATAATGCTTGTAATAATAATTAGAACCAATGATCTTTTATGGAAAAAAATTCTTATCAGGGTTGTATTTGCAAGTTCTTTTTCTTATTTTTCAGACATTGTATCAAACATTTACAGACTATGACATTAGGTTTTACCTATATGAATTACTCAAGGTATGTACTCATCACAAAGAGCTCTTTGTTTGGTTCCAAGACTAATGGATGGCTAGTAAAATAAATTTATAAATGTATAGAATCCAGTTTTACTGGTTAGTAAGCATTATCAGAATACAGTTATCACAATAGCCTGTGCCTCTATCTGTTAATTTGTTTCAAGTCTGTGCTGTTTTGTTGTTCTGTGATGAAGTTTTTACCAATATCACTTCCATATAGTACCCTTGATAATGAGTAAAAAAAAATGATGCCAAATTAGAACAAAGACACAATGTAATGACTGCTGATCTTTTTCTTTTCAGGCATTAAATTACTGTCACAGTATGGGAATCATGCACAGAGATGTCAAACCACATAATGTCATGATAGATCATGAAAATAGAAAGGTACTGAACTCTACATGATTAAAATCTTTATTACATTTTCAGCCATGAAATACTGCAATTTTCTTTTGAATAATATGGTGAAACTTCTCTTCTCCAAACCAACCCATCTGAAAACTGTTTTCCCCTAAATTCAGGATCAAATTTTACATAATGAATGTAAATTGGAAAGAATTTTTTTCTCCATAACTGCAAGAGCATATTAGTCATATTAATATTGAAGTATCCCCCATAGTACAAGTCAAAAATTATTTTGATGAAAAGTTGATTTCTGTATATTAAATGGGTATCTTTTTCTTGCAGCTAAGATTAATAGATTGGGGTCTAGCAGAATTTTACCATCCAGGCATGGAATACAATGTTAGGGTTGCCTCAAGGTACTTCAAGGGGCCAGAACTTTTATTAGATTATCAGGTAGAGTACAGTATTTTGTAGTGTCATATACATGTATTTTGAGAAAAGAGTTCGTTGTGGACATGATTATTACACTAGTTATTTATGCTTTCCACTGACCAGTGTTGTATTTTTAAAAGAATATGTTGTGCCCTTAGGAAGAATATGTTGTGCTCTCAGTAAATTTTCTGTTGTCTGCTTATTAACGATTTCAGTTGTTAATTTATTAATTTTCAGATGTATGATTACTCTCTAGACATGTGGAGTTTGGGATGTATGTTTGCTAGTATGATATTCAGGAAAGAGCCATTTTTTCATGGGCATGACAATTATGATCAGGTACAGTAAGATTATGATCATTATCGTTTCTTAAAAATGAACCATGATTTAATGTCTGTTACCCTATCAACATTCAAAAATGAATTCATACCCTATCCCAATTCGTTCTTTTACAGTTGGTGCGAATAGCAAAAGTTCTAGGAACAGATGATTTATATGTGTACATACAAACCTACCAAATAGATCTAGACAGTAGGTTTAATGATATACTAGGAAGGTAAGCTTAAAAATGTGGATTTATCTCTGAACTTGGAGAAGATTTATTCTAAAGAAACACAGGATACATTCATTAGTATAAGATTGCGTGATGACTATATTATTTATATTTTGCAATGTTCTGCTATTTAAATTACATGTATGTATACTTCATGGAAAAGTAAAAACCAGATATTTTTGCTTTACATCACAGACATTCTCGGAAAAGGTGGGAAAGATTTGTGCACAATGAAAACCAGCACTTAGTAAGCCCTGAAGCCTTAGATTTTCTAGACAGACTTTTACGATATGATCATCAAGAACGTCTCACTGCAAAGGAAGCAATGGATCATGCATACTTCTGTAAGACGTTAACAGAAAAATTATTGGAGGAACTTTACATTACGTGAATGTTCTCTGTATTGAGTACAAATATACTAGTACAGTACACTGTATTTAATGCAGCATGCAAGATATGTTTCAGAAGACAGAGAGCTTGAACAGTATGGAGAGGTAAAAATGATTTGTTTTTCATATTTCTTTTTTTTTCCAGACCCAATTGTGAAAGAACAAGGGAGGATGTCTTCAATGTCAGGACAGTCTCCCACCCCCATGTCTAATACAGGTCAAATGGGAGGAGGTACGGACAACACAAAGCAGCGCTAGAGACAGTGATAGAGTAGTTATTGTTGTTAGCACTAATGTGTACCCACGTCATATAAGGGTAGACAGAATGTGCATGCCACCTTTGCTTTTCATTTCAACTACACAGTCTACTGTTTACAAAACCATATTGATTGTTACATATTTATATGGCACATATGGATACATTATTGTGACAGACTTGCTGACATCTGAAACAAAAAGTCTTTTATCTACCTATTAGAAGTTTTAAAAAAGCAACACAAAACACCACACAACTATGAACTTTCCTTGTGTGCTTTACTTATGTAGAATGACTTTCATCCATTTCAATTTAGAGTGATGCCTGGGTTTACACTTAAATCCAACTACATGTAATTCTGAACCATAATGATAACTGCAGTTTTAGTGTATACAGAATTCCCTTTTATAACTCTGGTGAAATGTCAGGACCAAAGGTCTCAGGAGAGAACTCAGCTTTCTTCCAAATTATTCCTGCTATAATTGCACGCTTCTTTTTCCATAGAACAGGTTGCTTGCACTTGTTCTGATGCAGCTTTTATGCTTTTTTAGTCTTTAATTATTCTGTAAAAATACATTTTATAGGGTTTCTTTCAAGTTATGAGTTTCATAGTAATACATTGTAGCATTTTTAAAAGAAAGACTTTCAAATTAATTAAACCCTACAAAATTAATTGGAATGTGTTGCCATGTGCACGTAGAAGTATTTCTTAATAGCACATCAAGAAAACATGAAGACTTCAAATAGGTGTAGGATTTTTTTAAAGAGGGGATGGAGGGAGGCAAACAATAAATGAGATCCATTCCATTGTTTCTTGACAGTAAGGCTTGGAAAGAGTACACGAAAATTTAAAAAAATGAAATTATCTTGGATAATCTTTTTTTCATATTTGCAAAACTACAGCATAATATGAAAGTACTTTTCTTTTTCTACTTTTATTCACACTGTTGATTATTGGGTTCATTTCTTAGGATAAAACAGTGATCTCTTGTCAATGTTAACAATACAATAAGTTTACCTTATATTGCATGTCTTTTCCCAGATCCTCCTCTTTTCATGCTATATAAATAAATATACAGTCAAATCTCATTATCTCAATCATGATTGGGCAAAGGGAAAAAAGCTTCTAGATATCCGAGGAAGTTAAAAATTTATTGTAAATCACAGATAGAATTCAAACTGGCTAATAATGAATAATAGTTGGTTTTAATGCAGTAGTTGTGGCTTGCAAATTACTTTTTTTTATTGGTAGTAGAGATATCAATGTTTGAGATACTGAAGTTCATCTGTATATGTACACTGCAATTTTCATGCAAAGTAAATTACTGCACACTTTTTTTCACCTTAGTAGTAGTCAATGCTATTTCTCAGGGATAAAAATTCTTTTCTTTTTATAGCTGCAGCTACATGTATATTTTTTTCTGTCTGTATCTTCCTGTGTGAAAAGTATTTCATGCCAATTGTGCAAGATTAGACTTGCCTTAAGTAAGACACATACTTGATATAAGCATGAACAAAACATTTACAGCACATTTAGACAGTGTATACTGTAAACCAGTTTTCTTGAGATCATGATTAGGATTAGGAAGTTGATCACCTGGGAAAAAATGTTTGCATGTTAGTATCTTCAATATCAATAACTATCTAAGAAGGCATAAGTATATGGTCAAATGAGAAAGTTGCAAGAAAAAAGTGGTTTACAGTATTCATGCATTACTTAGCAGAGAATGAATTGAGAATCAGAGTGGTATAGACACACCTCTATATACTGTATCAAAATATGGGGTTTTTTCTAATTTTTGAGATCAAAGCTACAAAGAACTTTACGGAATTTTATGTTGTGGAATTGATACATAATTTTAATCATATTTTTTAAGCAAAATGAAAAATTTGCTTGGTATCATTTTTGGTGCCATGGACTTGCACCCATTCCAAAAGCATCTTGAATATGTGTACCTTAAACTTTGATTCTCAAAGGAGAATGGACTGCAATTTTTGTAAGGGAGACTTGTATCCAATGTAGCTTCGAATCTCCTTTGACTTTCTTCTGCCTTTTACTCTGAACAGGTGCCGTAAACAGCTCTTCTGTCGCGGCGGTGACCAGCTCGCCGGCATTAACTCCCACCATGTCACCGCTTCCTGCCAGTTCCACCGCTGCACAGTCCTAACCCAGCCTCTGACATTCTACTGACATTTTGTTCAGCAGCTTATCCTTGATAATCTCCAGGACTGGAAAATTGTATACTTAGATCTATTGTACAGCAGATATTTTTCAGATGAGTGTGTATGTGAAACCTAGGTAAAATTCTATCATGCAAAGCTACAACCCTTTCAGAACGACTGGTTTGATTCATAATGACCATTTATATAAGGAACATGTAGTTATATTTTTTCACCCTCAAACTTCTGAACAATTTGTTTTTGGATATAACTTAAGAATGTTGTGTAAACTTGTGCCCAACATTTTAGTGCTATCAAATGTGATGAGTATCTTACATGTAACATTGCTATTGGCAATAGTGCGTGTTTTCTGTGGTGCATTACCTGTAGGTAATGGAATTTAATCAAAGGTCTCAGTATCATGTCCATGCCTATTTATAGCAGCTCTCAGTCATCCTAAATGGCCCCGACCTTTTTTTTTTTGCAGAAAATATACAGAACCTTAACATTCAGGACAAATCTGACCCCAATAGAAAGCTGTAAGCCGTGAATAACAATTTGTTAATGAAAATGTGTGAACCCTGTGCATTTGCTGGTATACCATTTTAAGCATTGACATTGGGCTAAACAGAGTATTTGTCATGAATGGAATGGTTATAAAGATCTGTTGATTTTTTCCCCCTAGAAAATTGTTTTGCAGAATGTCAGTTACATTTTCCAAGACTTTGTATTTCATGAAATGGTCAATCCTGAAGTTATGCAAAAGTTGTCATTAAAAGTTTGTATAGTAATTAATGTTCCTTTGTATTTGTTTTCACATTAATGTTGAGGTTTCAACTGTGGTTTTCTTTTAACTTGAGATGTGTTTGAAAGTCAATAAGCTGCAATATGTCATTCTCCATGTTTTTTTCCCCCTACATACATGTATTTTAAGTTATTACCGAGAACTAACCATATTCCAACCATTGTAAAATGTTTTACTACAGTCAAAGATAATGGCAACTTCAGAAAAAAGGATGTAGGCATCATTATTTTCTTGGTTGGTCTATTTGGTTGTTTCAATATGATTTGTACTACTTCTTTCTCAGGCATGCTAATTGAGGTCCATTCTTTTCATGTGCAAGATAGATAATGCTGGATCATCTTTGGAATACATCTAAAAAGCTGAAATGATGTCCTTTGACTGTCATTAAACTGAAATGTGTCATGGGAGAAATAAAATTTATAAATACATGAGTGAAGGTTTTATGTTGTGGATTGAAAGGTTGGTAGGACAGGGGTGTGGAATATCAATTCAATACCCCCTATCAGTGCAGGGCTTTTTGAAGCACATATTTCTTGTAAGCATGTACTGTATGTATGCGAGTCATGGGGGGAAATGCAGATTTTCTGGTGGATTTGATGCGAGATTTGGCATTAGGTTACATGAACAAAGAATGGTAAGGAGGGAATGTTATTTACTTTTATAAGGGTCGCATAGATTGAAATATGTTGAGTGCACTGGAAATAAAGCGAAAAGGGGGGGGGGGTTGCTGACGAGATTTTAAAGCTGTAAGTTAAAAGGACTCATCCTGTTGACGAGGATACCTATTATATTGCATGAGAGTTTAGTATTTTGTGCACCTGCATCCTTGAATTGTGTACAACTTTTTGTTACCAGTTCGACACTTCAATCTCATGTTTAGATGCAAAACTTGATCAATCTAATAAAATTAGACCTTTCATCTCACTCTTCATTTATCTATTTGTTGCTCGTGAAAGGAGATCCTTTCACGAGCGACAATATGGACAAATAGATAAACGAAGAGCGAGATGAAAGGTAGATATTTTTTTTTATTTACCAATAAAGCTGTGGATCGAGTGCCTAATATAAGGGACTTGAAATAAGTATTTGTTGCAAATATTTATTAAAATGTAGAAAATTTCTTTCATGTTTCTGCAAAATGCAGGGAAAAATATTAGAAACGGGGGGGGGGGGGGGGGGGTAAAGTTTAGAATTAATGAAGGAGGCTTTTAACACAGCAGAGTTCTAATTCCATGGTAGTTTTATGCAGCTGGAGTACCGACTGTTAGACGTAATGTAGAAGATATGAAAATCTACGGTAAATGACACAATTTGTTACAGATTAAAGTGTTCTTTACAAATAATCTCAATAATATGTACACCTATATGTGATAAAATTTTCTGAAAGTCACTCACACACACTCCCTCAAACACACACACACAAACCAACATTTTTCATAAATGTTTAGAGCTTCCTATCGAATGCACACAAAACCACTATTTTTTTCACAAACAAACAAATATTAAAAACCTTTGCGCATTGAAAAGGGACGGGTGTTCAAGTCAGACGAAACGTTCCTCAAAAATGTATAATTTTCCCCAAGAATTTGTCATTGAAGTATAGCTACTTATTTTAAACAAATTTCCTCACCGGCAAAAATTGAGGTACCTTACCAGGCATTTGGGCAAGATACCAGATGGTGATATTCCGTATATAATCCTTAAGGGTAATCTTTTTGAATTACCAGTGTCACAATTTTTGGTGTATTTATATTTTTAAAACATTTTGAAAACAATTTAGAAATCACAAGAGAATGACAATATGAATAATTTTTGATATAATATCAAGGTATACAAAAACATATATTTGAGGAACGTGTCGTCTGTGCATGGTATTACGAATTTCACCCCCCCCCCCCCCCGGCGGATCCTGAGGAGTGGGGCTAAAACCATCAATATTAGTGCTATCTTAACAACCTTTTTTACTCCAGTAGTCAAACTTTTGGGATGATTGTAATAAGCATTTAACCCTCTACCAAAATTATGAAATTTATGGCCCCAGGGTCAGGGATTCTGGAGTTAGGTAGGGGCTCTCATGATCATAAAGTGAAATGCATAAATTCTTTAAAAATCTTTTTCTCTTCCCCTCTATATTTAGCAGATAAACTAGGTGCATGGTTATGATGAGTAAAGGTGCCTATTCTAAAATTGTGAATTTCATGGTCCCTGAGGCAGGGGTTCTGGTATTAGAGCGGGGCTCTATTTATTTTGTTGTGAAATTTAAATGCATTATTTCTTTGAAAATTTCATCTCTGGTCTTGGGTATTTTATTTTAGCATAAAAATTAAGTGCATGATTATGTTGAGCAAGGTGCTTCTTACAAACTGTGAAAATAGTGACCACAGGGTCAGGGTTCTTTTTTTTTGGGGGGGGGGGGGGGGTATTGATTATATTGTGAAAAGCAATTTTTCTGAAAAAATTTCTTCTCTGTTCCTGAGTATTAAGCAAACATGCGAAGTAAATGCATAGTTATGATAAACATATGTGCCTCTTCCAGAATCGTAAATTTCACGGCCCCTGAGACATGCAGGGGTTCTGCTTTTAGGGCAGGGTTCTATAGATTGAATATTTAAAATGTACAAATTCTTTAATTATCTTCTTCTCTGCCCCTGACTATTTAGCAGACAAACTTATTGCATGGATATGATGAGCAAGGATACCTCTTCCAAAATTATAAAATTCATAGCCCTTGGGTCAAGGGGTTTGGTGTTAGGGCGGGGCTCTATTGAATATATTGTGAAAATGCATTATTTCTTTGAAAATCTTCTCTGCCCCTTGGTATTTAGCAAACATACTTAGTGCATGGTAATGATGAGCAAGGGTGCCTTTTCCCAAATTGTGAATTTCATGGCCCCTGGGTCTACGGCCTCTGGTGCTATGGCGGGGCTATATTGATTATACAGTGAAAATACATTAATTCTTTGAAAATCTTCTTCTCTCTTCATGGTATTAATCAAACAAAGTGCATAGTTATAATGAGTAAGTGTGCCTCTTCCAAAATTGTGAATTTCATCGCCCCTGGGTAAGGGTTCTGGTGTTAGGGAGGGGCTGTGTTGAATCTATAGTGAAAATGCATTATTCTTTGAAAATCTTCTAATTCTCTGCTTCTGGGCATCTAGGAGGCAAACAGAGTACAAAGTTGTAATATACAATGGTATTTTTACCAGATATTTTTTTTTAGTTCTCGACCACTCGGTCAAGTGTGCTGGTACTGGGTAGGCCTCTATTTATCTATACTATAAACAATCAAACAGAGTACATAGTTATAATGAGTAAGTCCAATTAATTTATGGAATATATAATTGTAAATTTATTAATTGGACTTCATCTCATACCATTGTATGACATTAACTTAAAATCTGTTTCTATGTTCCTTTAAGATTTAGTTAAAAATATAGAAAAATAAACCAATTTGCCGAAACCTTAACATTACTGTTGGCGTAAGTGTGTGTCGTGGGGGTGGCCGGGATTCCCTGCCTTGTGAAGGAAAATAAATAAATTTAACAAAACATGATTTTTTAATTGGATGGGGGTTGGGGGATTTTAAATTGCCTGTGTTGACGCATTCTCACTTGAAAACGGCTAATATAAAATACTTGTCAAGTTCTACTGTATGGCATGTCAAACGTTGCAATATTCGATCTTTTCCATTTGTATTGTATAACTTTCTATTTGTATTGTATAATTTTTATTTGTATTGTATAATTTTTCATTTGTATTGTATAATTTTTGATTTGTATTGTATAATTTTCAATTTGTATTGTATAATTTTTATTTGTATTCTATAATTTTCCATTTGGATTTTATAATTTTCCATTTGGATTGTATAATGTTTATTTGTATTCTATATTTTCCATTTGTGTTGTAAAAAAAATCATTTGTATTGTATAATTTTTCATTTGTATTCTATATTTTCCATTTGCATTGTATAATTTCTTATTTGTATTGTATAATTTCTTATTTGTATGCGATAATTTTTCATTAGTATTGCATCCAAGGATTGTTTATTTATTTCGTTACGAAGGATGTCATTGGTCATAAAATTTAGTCTGTATAAAGGTCTCAGGTGCCCATCACAAACTTAGTCTGGTACCCTTCCCACAATTCCGATCGCGCACTCTCTACAAACACAAACTCGGCTCCTCTATTTGCGGTGCATGCTAAGGGACGGCCATTTGATTCTCGGGGGGTGTCGAATCGGATTATTTATTTTCATTCTCTCGCAGGAGAGAATATTTATTTCCAATATGACCAGAGACAAGGAGAAAAACAAAAAGAAGAAAATCCGCCCAAACCCGAAAACTCAGTTTTTTGGGGGTGGGGGTAGTTACCACCACTCAAGGTCCTACCAGCGCTCCCTTTTTAGAATCCAATGACCGTCTAACATGCACGCAAATACATATGCCGCCGAAATATGGCTGAAATATTGCCGACTCGGCGTTAAACAATAATCAATCAAGCAAGCAAGCAAATACATATGAGCCCAGTTTGCTTTGAGCATCCGGAACATCTTCAACCCGATACAGGCTGAAACTTGACCAATGAAATCCTTCGTAACGAAACAAATAAACAGTCCGCGGATACAATACAAATGAAAAATTATCGCATACAAATAAGAAATTTTACAATACAAATAAGAAATTATACAATGCAAATGGAAATTTATACAATACAAATAAAAATTATACAATACAAATGAAAATTTTACAATACAAATAGAAAATTATAAAATACAAATAAAAATTATACAATACAAATGAAAAATTATACAATACAAATAGAAAATTATACAATACAAATAAAAATTATACAATGCAAATGGAAAATTATACAATGCAAATGCAAAAGATCGAATATTGCAACGTTTGACATGCCATACTACTGAGTCGTTGCATCGATTGCTGTGGAGCCTGTCTCGATTCTCCCTTTGCAGTGGATTTTATTTTATTTTCATTTCTTTCTTTATTTATTTATTCTTCACGTTTGTTCTACTTCAGTAGTGCTACGATTTAGATCATACCTAGTCCATAACATATACTTGGCAAAAGTCAGGTTAAAGTGACTATAAGTCTCTTCCTAGTACGACCCAAGCCCCCCTTCAAATTAAAAATGAAATGTCAGAACTGAATGATACATGTAAGAAGTAATGTAATGTAGATTCATCTTAATTGGTTAAATGCATCAGTAGGATGTATAAATTTAACTGATTTTTTTTTCCCAGTAAGAACATCATGACACTGGAAAGCATTAATCGTGTCACATAGCTATAGGCTTCATGCTTAAATTCGACATTAATTTCAACATTTTTGTTTAAGTTAAATCACTAGTGTATGATGTTTTGAAGATTTAATTAATCATTTCGTTATTTTTGAAATCACAAAGATCTACATTATAACAAGTGGCAAGGACTTTTTTGGAAAACTTTCTTTTATTTTAAAAAGTCGAGTTTTGGGAGACTGCGCACATGGTCTTTTTTTATAGAGAGACTTCCTTTTTCACTGAAAGTAAATGAACACATGCTACCCATTCCATCTATAAAGTATTTCGGATCCCTTTTTATGCGCGGATCCAGGAATTTTTCCCATAGGAGGGGATGGGGACAAAAAAATCTGACACCGAAACTTTTTGACAAGCAAACCAAAAAAAAAAAAAAAAAAAGAAAGAAAAGAAGAAGAAATGAATGAATAAATAAAATAAAAATAATAACGTAAACTTGCCCAACATGAAAAAAACTTATTGGGGGTGGGTGGGGGGGGGGGGGGTTACTTTTTCAAGTATTTTTTCTTCAGATACATGACTTAATTTCTTTACCATTTTACATGGGGTCCGTGTTTCTTAGGGGGGAGGAGGGATCCAACCGTCCAAGGTAATTTTTTCGTAACTTCACATAGCAATTTATAACTCTAAAAACCCCAAGGCGGACCCCACCCCCGTCTAGATCTGCACATGCTTTCCAGGTGTGGATCCAGGAAGTTTTTTTCCGGGGGGGGGGGGGACCCCAGTCAAAAAAATATTCCAACCCAAAAATTTCTTGACAAGCTAAAAAAAAGAAGGAAAATCCATTTCCAAAACGTGAAAAACACATGTTTCGTGGTGATGATGGTGGGTACGTACACGTTTTCGGGGGGGGGGGATCCAAACTCTTTTTTTATTTGCTTCAGTATATACTTTCAATACCTCTGCAAATTCCAGGGGGGTCCGGACCCCCTCCCCCCCACCCCCCTCTAGATCCGCGCATGCTTTCGATACATCGGGAGGGAAGGGGCAGAGATATTTTAATTTTCATTTGGGTTAATTGGGGGATCAACGCTTTAATAAAATTATTTTTTCTCTCTCGTTCGGTCCCCTAGAGTTGAACATTTTATGAAGGCCAAACTTTAAATTCTACATGTTTGTTAATTTACTTTTTATATCATTATATGCATAAAAAATAATATTACTTCTTTAAACAAGCTGTTAAATGTAAAGAAAAATGAATAATTTATCAGTGTGTGATAGATTTATATAATAAATTAAGGCTATGAAATAAAATACCATCGTATCACAGGCAGTTGTTTCTGTAATAATTTTTTTAACCCATAGTATAATAACAAAAACACACTGTAGAAAGCAAATCAATGTATATATGAAATGTAAAGCATCGCTGCAAACGCAGGGTTATTCGGTTTTATAAGATGTATAAAATAGTTTTAAAGTATTTACCACACAAATTATTGTGCAAGTAACATCCGATACTATATCATTTAATATTTTGCATATTTAGACGCATACAAAATACACATAATAAACAAACATCCAAAATATCCGCGTGGAATCACGGAAGTACTCCTCACTCATTGTGTATATACATGCGCATGTAGTTCCTCAAAATATTTAACTTTAAAATTATTTTTTGATTAAATTGTGTACTCTAATTTCACATTATAAAGAACTTTGACATTTTGAGTAGATATAAATATTGCAAATAAATAATGAAGGTTCTTCTATAAAAAAGCGCCTTGGAAACTGAACTTAGCAACTGTATCGTAGAGCGACCCCTTTACCGCCCTTGGTAACGTAGTAAGTTGATCGACGCACAGCAAGATCTTCACTTAACGACTGAACACCACGCGAGCAGGAACTGTGTAGCCGGCGTCCAAGAGGACGAAGATAGACAGACTTTATTGAATACACAGTCATCACTAAAGATGTTCAAGAACACATTTCAGAGTGGATTTCTATCCATACTTTACAGTATAGGAAGCAAACCGTTGCAAATTTGGGATAAAAAGGTACGTGAGTTGAAATTATCACTTTGCAGTTATCTTTCATGATCGCCATAGTGACATGGCTGGCAACCTGGACTTGCTGATATAGTTGTTAATTTTCTTATTTAATAACATCATACGATACAATTACATATGTTTTTAGTTTATTTTAAACCAGTGTTACATAAAAACAGCGGTATTTTAATGTCATTTTGATTTAAACCGAGGAAATGTGGTTGGTTACGAGAGCGGAAGTGGATCTTCCATTGTTTGTGTCTGGTCATAACACATTGACAATCCATGTTTGAAACAAAAAAGACATGGCATTAGTGACATACTTATTTGTTAGAAATAACATAGAACACCCATGTATCAATTGATGTCAGTGAAATTATATCTTTCAAACTGCACACAGTTGTTGCCATGCAAATATATCGAGTTTCATTGTTAGTGGAATGCGATAGACTAAGCGTTGTTATGCGTGTATACAAGTGCATTCTGCAGTATTTTTCATTGTGAACGTTTTTCTCATGTGCATTGTTATCATTTTAGGTACGAAATGGTCACATCAAACGTATCACAGACAATGATATCCAGTCCCTAGTATTAGAAATTGTTGGAACAAATGTCAGGTAGGGTTAATGTAAATAATGCTGTATTTTCTCTTTTTTTAATTAAATTAATGAAGCAGTTAACAATAAAATTTTCAATGTCTTTTGTTGATTTTCTTACATGTCTTTTATCTTCTGTTTACAGTACAACATACATAACGTGTCCAGCAGATCCAAAGAAAACACTTGGTATAAAGCTTCCATTCTTGGTGATGATCATCAAAAATTTAAAGAAATATTTCACCTTTGAAGTACAGGCAAGTTTCCTAACTTCCATGTTTACTGTATTATTATTCCCAGTGAGAAGACTTTTATTAAAGATGTGTATCTTTTAAATTTTTTATCTGTATTGATGTGACAATTTTTCTGAACACAGGTTTTAGATGACAAAAATGTCAGGAGGCGATTTAGAGCTAGCAATTACCAGAGTACCACAAGAGTGAAGCCATTTATCTGTACCATGCCAATGAGGTTGGATGATGGCTGGAATCAAATTCAGTTCAACTTGTCAGATTTCACAAGGCGAGCTTATGGAACAAACTACATTGAAACCTTGAGAGTCCAGGTAAGAAAACAATTGACTGTAATGTGCAAAATACTTGAAATTTACACAGATGAATTTAAAATTAAAACTTGAAATTTACTTATATTTGACTTGAATTAAGTCTCATTTGTGGATTTAGCTAAGGAAACTTTGTAATATTTACAGATTCATGCCAACTGTCGAATCCGAAGAGTATACTTCTCAGACAGACTTTATTCAGAAGATGAATTACCTGCAGAATTCAAATTATACCTACCTGTACAAAACAAAGGAGCAAAGGCATAACAAACATTATCTGACTATTAGAACATTTTAACTCAGTGTAAATACATCAACATTTTAAACTGTTCAAATTGCTACTCAAGAAAGTTACAAAAATGTCTGTGGATAAAAAATTTATTGGAGGGCTGAAAAAATATGTGTACCTTAGTATACAACCGATGTTGGACAATATGAACATTGAACAAGTGGATATTGGCAACACTGATGGAATGAACAGTTACTTGGCATATAATTTAAATGTGCCATTATTTCCACAGGGCCACAACCAGTTTTAAGTGTTCATAACAGTTCTCTTGTTATTTTTGTGTCTTTTGAGAGGAAAAAAAACTATTTCTGTAGTCTTTACAATTTAACAAAAAATCTCAAATCTGTATAGTTCTTGCAACCAAATTAAAACTCAGGAATGGGTGTTTTATAGAATCCTGATTATTTGTGATTGGAAATTTAGAATTAATTATACATTTGAGCAGCTGGATGACTGATGAGCGTATCAAAATGGAAAGAATATTAAATATTTTAAAAATTGCCTGGAAGATTTATCTTTTTTGCAAAGTTGGGGATTTGTTGCAATATATGTTATATATCAAAGTTATTTGTTATATTTTGTTTCAACCGATTTCCCAACTTTTCATATTTTTTTTTCATAAAATACATTTCATTCAATCATTCAGCTTCATTTAAGCATAAGGCATATTAAAAATGTTCTGCATTTTTACCCATTGTAAATATAGGAAAATAAACATATAAAGAACAGATTTTCTTGTTTTGACAGTGATATTTAGGGAGGGGGCTGAATGAGATTATCCACTTGGTAAATGTGCTCTTCTTTGTGTGCTTGTGTTGAGTCACCTTAAGGTGCTTAGTGAGTCTTAGAACAATTGTAACTTTGTCCTATTTGTTTTGTTATGTTTTGGTTTGAGGTCCACAACGACATTCAGGCCAAAGAATTATAATAATAAATATTATATAAAGTCCATGTTAGTTTTAGTGTTTGGTTTTGATTTCTGATAAGTATATCCCCCATCCTTAAAATGATCTAGACGCCTTGATTCAGTATAAACATATATAATTACCTAATGGTTCAAACTTTTGAAGTACAGTTGAACTTCGATATCTTGAATACCATGGATATGTTGGAGTAATGTGGAAGTCCGAATCACATTAAGTATTTTTTTCTGGAATCCAAAATTGGATATCTTGTAGTTTTCCTCAGTCCCATCGTGTTCGAGATAACGAGGTTTGACTGTACCTTATTGGACTTGCAAAGGAAGGGAAGGTACCTGTTCATATCAGGTATCTATTACAATGTTTGATACTTCCTACTTGCACTGCCTGGTGCATTGACCTTAAAGCTGGATTAATATAGCTTAGACAATTGTGCCAAAGATTTCTGGATTATGCCAAGATCCTGAAACATCATGAGCTTACGTGTATATTGCAATAACTTATTATAAGTGATATGGAAATCAAACAGTCAAAAATAAAAATTTCAACATTTCATTTACTGTTATCTACAGATTAATAGTTTCAGTTCATTTTAATAAACATCTTGCAAATAACTGAAATTTTGATTTAGTCTAAGTCTTTTTCATGGTCCCGGGGTCAGGAGAAACATCATGTCTTAGTTACAAACGGCACCATATCGAAACCTACAAATTCCTTCAGAAATTCTCTGCAGAGGTTATAATGGCATAAAAACAAAGATGTTTTGCACAAAATCTCACGATAACTTTTTAGGGGGGGGGGGGGGGGGGTGTTCAAAATGATGTTTGCAATGCAACTCATTATTATCATGTCTTGGTTACAAAGGGCATCATGTCGAAACCTGATGTTGACGTTTATTCCCCTCAGAAATATCCTCCACAAGTTCTATCCTGATGGAGGGTTTGGTGCACCTCCCAGTCTGGAGACAATGCTTCAGTTTCCTTGCTTTACCAGTTGGTTTATTCTAGAGATTGACGAAACCGTTGAATTTTATTTTATTTTAGACGTCCAAAACTTCATTTTTCAATAAATGATCATTGAAAGGATGGTCTCTCCCTCTCCTCCTCCCTCCCCCCCCCCCCACACACACACACGGACTGAGTGAAATTCTTGAAAATTGCAGAGCATCTTGAACTCATTAACACAATTCATGTGTAAATATTTTTTTTAATCCAGAAATTTGAGTAAATGTTACATTAAAAGTTTACACTTTAGATAAGTTTAACTCGATGATGTCTAAACTTTTAATGTAACATAAATATAGATAAATAAAAATATGAGATTGAGTGTAGATAAACATGATATATGTTATTTACGTTAAATTAAAATTTTCACCGATTTTAAACTTGAATAACCTAATGTTTCCATAGTTAAATTAATTTTAAACTGTGTTTGTTAATTAACAGCGGAGTCGGTAAATAAATCGGTTATTGTTTTAAATTTCTAACATCTTTGAAACGTGGTTGATTTAAATTGTGTAATTTACAGGAAAGTCTTATCTTTATATAAATTAATAAAACAAATAGAAAGATCTTTTTAATTTAAGTTAATCTGAACTTATAAAAAAAGATACGCCTTATATGACTCTAAATTAGATTCATTTTTGTATAGATGTATGAATAAAAGCCATTGTTTCCGTAGAATTATTGAGGATTTTTAAGTATAGAAAATGAATAATTATAAAAATAAATGAATAAATTAAAAAAAAAAGAGGTAAAGAATAAAATAAATAAATCGCCACATCGGACTTTTTAGCCTCGATTTACATCATGTACAATGTATCTAAATTATACCGTACAAACATTCAAGTATGCATTTTAGAATTTTAATGACAGTTGTATGACATATCCTGAATAATGTCTCAAAAATCTAGCAATACACCTTTCAATTAGTACAAATCTAACATCAAATCCCCTTTGTTCATTACAATCTCTTTACCAAATTTTATTTGAAAGTATCGAACCAGAGTTCAATTACATATTATATAAATGCTATCTAGAGGATTATGTTAGAATTATATATGTACATATTGATATTCCGCAAAAGTCTTTGCTCAGTGGCGGACCCTGGAATTTCATAACGGGGGGCGCAGTAGAAGGCGGGGGGGGGGGGTCTGGGGGCTGCATTGAAGCCCCCAGTGGGGTCTAGAGCAAAGCCCTGTTGTGGTCCGGGGGTGAAGCCCCCGGAAGCTGACGAATTCTTACAAATATGATATGTTTTTTCCTTTGATTTTGGATAATGGACATATAAGTTCTACATACAAAAAATTCAAAAGGGGGGGGGGGTGCACCCGGCGCACCGGCCCTGGATCCGCCTTTGTTGCTACACTCATAAGAACTTGAGGACGAAACTTCCTCCACCCTTCGCCTCAAAAAAAAAATGTCCAATCTGGAATCTCATTTGTGTGTGTGGGTGGGGGGGGGGGGGTAGTAGTGTTCGCCCTTCCCTTAACTTCTTACTTTTTGGTAAATTTATATCAAATGCTGGAATTTACCAGTGTTCAATCTTACAGAAACAAAGAGTGAGGGGTCAGCTAGCATCTAAATGAAATTTAAAATTTCAAAACTACAGCAAAAGAAGGGGGCCTGGCCCCGCGTTCTACGGGCCTGTACGTCCGTCTGCGGTACCCATCTCTTATCCGCAACTCCTCCTATACCACTGAATAAAATTTAATGATACTTTAAAAGATTCTTTATTACATGGTGCCATTGTGCACCTTCTATTTTACTTTTTGATCTGACACTTATTTCGGGTTTCCCATAGCAAAACATGGACTTTGCCATTATAATCATATGGGAGGCGGGGGTATAATTTTGTGAGCTCAGTGCTCACAGTACCTCTAGTTTATAATGAACATGATCAAATTTTAATTCATGTATTTTCTGAAATAAGTAAGTAAATGTCTGTAATTCTTACATGTATATCCACGCAACGGTATATATGTTGATTAATGACTTGTAGTAGAATTTAGTTTCACCATGATTATTTGCTTTCCATCCTCACAACGTCAGGGGTCCTGTGTCAACTCTACGTCGTCCCACGGCAACGAGTTGCCACAGACTCCTGATATGAGGGTGTATGCTTTCATGCTTTAGTGCAAAAATATTTAATCTGGATATGATGTGCAGCTTGGATGCCCCGAGGAAATAAATAAAAACAAGATCATACTTTATTAATGTTTAGACAGTTACAGTAAGCAACAGAACTCTCTGCCCTGTGATGCCTGTGAAATGTTACTTTAACATTTATAAGGCGATTTGACCATTTAAAGAATGTAATAAATAAGAAAATGGTCAGTAACGTATTTAATCTTGTCTCGCTATATAACGACCCTAACTTTATTGCTTTTCGTTTATAATTGTTCACATAGTATAGAACGTAACAAAACAGAATAGTTATTACTAATTTAGAACCCAAAATAGACAAACATGAAATGATTACAGTAAGGAAAAGACAAAACAATGGATAGTATATGTAGCAATTTTTGCACATCTATATATGTAAAATAAAGCCAGTCGTGATGATTTTGATAGATATCAAAATAGATTTTGAAAATGCATGGTATTTTTTAAATAAAGGAATATTCTACCTTTTGCGAGGATATATATTGAAATATGTATTTTGTTTTAATCGATGGGAGGATATATATCAAGGTATGTATACATGTATATTACATAGCCTAGATATGAGAATTAAAAGCACGCACAAAAAATATACAGTGTAGATATCCAAAGTTACATTAACGTACATAATCCTTCTATAATTATAAACCCGCGTCTTTTGACCAGCCTTACATAAATAAGGCCTGTGTCTTTCAGTCCTATCAACTTTATCGGAAACCTTTTTGGTAGGACTGGGCGCCTGACTCTCTATTATAAAAACATCCGTCGACATCAAGTTGTTTATCAATGTTGTGGTGACAGACTGCTTCTATATTTATATTTGATGCGGCCTGGGAAAAAAAAGTGTTTTGCATGTGCTGTCATGCTTAATGCAGAAATATTGATTTGTGAGGAAATAGTGATCTGTACAACTTAAAAAATCATATGCATGAAAAAAATGAATAAATGAATTTAAAAAAAGAGGCTTAAACCAGGGACCTATACACCAACACAACTAACACAGATCCCTGCTTTTACAGTTTTTAAAAATGATATAGTAGACTGCATGACAGGACAACACCCCACTCTTTCAACGAGATGCAAAAAGATCAGACCATAGCCCTGTGTGTACCGTGTTTCATATGGTAAACAATTCTAAATTTATTTTAATTTTTTGTTTTAAAATCTGTCTCTGTTTACAAGTACGTGTTGACATAATTGTTAGTAGCAACGAGGTTTTTTAATCAACACGATGGAAAAGTACTGAGGTATTCCGATCGGACCCCCAAACTGAAAGTAGCAAGCAGCCCGATGGCGGACTGCAAAGTTGTGGATATTGTAGATTACATTTCTTCTAGATTAGAAGGTAATCCATTGTGTAAAGGTGTAAGACAACATTTATTATCCATAACCTCTACGAGGGATGTAAAAGCAAATCAAATAGCAACAGAGAGGTGGGTAATTCTTTGTTCAAATGGTCATTTCCTATCATTTCATCATACAAGGCAATAATATATCTAAGCAAACATATTCCAAGATGGTATACCGTAAAGCATTGTTTTACTGAATTTTTTTTTATTTCCCGTATGACGATTTACTTTTGATAACTTGAAACACAGATATTTGATTTTTTTCCTTTTTTTTTGAAGTCGTATACATGTAGCCCTTGGGTAAAAAAAAACCCCTTTTCTATATATAGAGAGGGAATTTTTTTCCTAGGACCATAAATATCGACTACCTTTTCTACTTGTTTCTAATTGATTTTAGTCAAACTGTATGTTATCTTTAACTTGGACACACTTTATTTAAAAACAACGACATACTTTATTTAAAAAGAACGCTGCTTGTATGCAAAATTAAGCAAGGATATATGCTTAATAAAACTACTTGTATGATGAGATAGTTAATTTTCAATTCTGATGAATTAAGTTTGTGTGAGTTTTAAAAAATGTATGAACAATAATTCTGTAATCTTAGTTGGTTGAGATGGGCCAGACATGAAAACCACTTAAAAGTCATCAGTGCTGGAATCCCTATAGGAGTACTTCCTAATGGATTGGAAGGGGAAATAATTGATGTCAAAGTATTCGCTAGACGAGGTCCAGATGATGTTATATATGACAAAAACAAGGAAATCAGAAAAAGGGTTTGTGTTTCAAAAATGCACATGTAGGAAGTTTTTTCCCCCATTATATATTTTGAAATAAATGCTGGAAAAATCTCCAATCTTGGAGAGGACAATCTAAGTTTGAAAAACTTATGTCTGATCCAGTTGATTATGATTCAATAAAATATGCTTATTAAATCAAATCAAATCACTCTCCCATGAACACTTGCCACATCTCAAGGCAACTCAATTAGTGAGAAAATGTATGTTTTTCTATATATCCATAATGAAAACATACATATTTTTCTACATTATATATCTATGATGAATATGTGGGCTTGACTTGTCAGAAATGAGGCTAAACGATCTCTGGAAGGGGGGGGGGGGGACTTGCCTTTGGCCTGACTTGTACTGGTCCTTTAAAAATATACCAAACATTTCAAAGTGTTGTCCTGAGTCTAATAAAGTGAACACGTGTTCCCAATACAGGGATCCCAATAAATATTACCATGTATTACTAGTAAAACTGATCAAAATTGAAAACAAGGCTAAATTACAAATATAAAATGAAATCTATCCCTTTGTGTCTTTTGCTTGCTGTGTTGTAGGTAGCACGAGGGAACAGTTTTCTACACATAGACAGAGGACCTGAAGCAGGCACACGATGTGTTCTGCAAGCAATGAAGAAATTTACAGGAGGGCTGGGGGATGATGATGATCGAGATATGGGAGACAACTTGGTTTGGAAGAAATATTTTACTAAAGTAAATAATGTACCACTTGAGAGTTTAAGCTTCATGATATTAGATCCATTCCTGCTCTGCTAAGGATATCTTCCTCTTGCCTTAGAATATATCATCATTATGATAAAGTATTGTTTTATCTGCCTTTTTGATTGTCAATCTGTGTGCACTTGATTCAGTGCACATTTTATTTTATATTTTGACAAGTAACATCAGGGCATATAATTTTTTGGTCTGTCTTTCTGTTTGTCTGCAAAAACTTTAACCAAATTTTAAATGATTGGTGCTAGGCTTTCATATTTCAAGTGTATTCCTTCTGATAAAACCTTAATTTATTTGACCTCTTGACCTTGGAGTTTGACCCATTTTGCAAAATTTTACCAAACTTTTACCTTGACCTTAACTTTTAAATGGTTGGTGTTAGGCCTTTCATATTTCACACGTGTATTCCTTGAGACAAGAACTTTCTTTGGACACTAACATTTTTGACATCTTGACCTTAGAGTCAAACCTACTTTTGAAAGACTTGAAAGTTGTCCATAACTTTTGAACAGTTGATGTTAGGGCTTTCATAATTCACATGTGTATTCTTTGTAATAAGACCTTTCTTTGAAAACCAACATTTTTGACCTTGGAGTTTGCCTTACTTTTAAAAAACTTAAACCTTGGACATTACTTTAATCAGTTGGTGCTAGAATTTCATATTGCACATATGTGTTCCTTGTGACAAGAACTTTCTTTTGATATCAATTTCTATGACCTTTTGACCTTGACATTGGAGTTTGAACTACTTTTGAAAGACTTTAACCGTGGCAATAACTTCTGAATAGTTGGTGCAAGGACTTTCATATTTCACATGTGTATTCCTTGTGACAAGAACTTTCATTGGGTACTAACATTTTTGATATCTTGACCTTTATCTTGGAGCCAAACCTAGTTTTGAAAGACTTTATTATAATTGGCCATAATTTCTGAATCATTGGTGCTAGGGCTTTTATATTTCAAATGTGTATTCCTTGGGACAAGAACTTTCATTGGGTACTAACATTTTTGACCTCTTGAATTTGGAGTTAAAACCTTCTTTTGGAAAACTTTAACCTTGGCTATGAGCTGCCATTTGGGGCATCAATGTTTCACAAACACATCTTGTTTGAATTTTATCCCTTTTTTTTAAACTTCAATAAACATTCAGAATAATTATATCTTGAGTTTATGTAGGATAGCACAATGATTTTATCTGTTACATGAATTTAGCCTATACAAGAAGCTGAAAAAGTCATAGCAACAAAGAAAGCCAACGGAGAGGCAGCCCACCTCAGCTGTTGTATGATTGATGGGGAGTACATTATGTGTGGTGGATCCAAAAATGTGCACATGATGTTCAGGACTAAAGGTAGGAAGGTGTTACTTTAACTGTAGTATTTCAGTAAACATAACAAGGTTCCTTTTGCTTTGATATTTTGAATTCTGACGTTGAGAATTTAGATTGTTATTATTGAAAGGTGTTCAGTTTTCAAATTCTGGAATCTTGAGTCCAGGACTAAGGTAGGGGTGTATTTGTAAAGGTACCGTTTTAGATGAAATATTGATTCTTTTTCTGCTTATATATTTTCTGAGAATTGAGAATTTGGATTGCTGTTATTTATGAAATATGATCAATTATTAGATTCTGGGATGTGAAATACATGTATTCAAATATTAAGAGAGAAATCAATGTTTTGGGGGGAAAGACGGATAATTATGAGAAAATGGTTCAAACACATAATACATAAAAACCTGACACAGAAAAGTTTTGTATTTAGAAGAATATATGTAACTATGTTTTTATTTTCACATGTAGAAGATATACAAAAGTATGGAGAACCTAGGTTTCGTATTGCCAGAGAAGTGTGTACAACAGTTGTTGATTCATTGGACAAAATGGGAGAGGATGCTAAGCACAGGTATCATGAGTTATCCCCCTTCTCTTGAATCCATGCATCTTTGTGCAAACTGCTTTAAGCTTTAGTGGTCAAAGATCAGAAAAGAGTATGCTTTGTTAAAATGTGTTGTTCTGCAATCTATCTATTCTAACTGTTATTTCAAATGCTTTAATTTCTAGACAATTTTTCCTTCAAATTTTAATAAAAGAATCTTTACTTTAGAATTTGAATACAGCAACACATATCAGTAAAGCACGCTTATAATGAATTGACTTTGACAGAAAACTAATATTCATTCCCATGGCTTTTAATATATTGTGATCTTAATGGATATATATATATTATCATAACAGTTACTTGATCCGAAGAGTTGTATCACGTCGAGTTGATAGGCTTGGATCATCAGATCAAACGAGACACGAATTAAGCGTCAAGTTTGATCTGATGATCCGCGGCTGTCAACTCAACGTGATACAGCTCTTCGGATCAAGTCACTGTTATAATGATTAATTTTTTTTATTATACTTTCATGTTAAATACTAAAATCTGATTGGTTTAGACGCATTTAACAATCCGTAATGTTACCCTCAGCGTTAGCAACACACTTGACAACGGGTAACATTACGAAAATATCACATGCATTCAAATCATGCGCGTACGGTTCACCGTAGAATTCTCAAAACGGTATGAATCGGACGAGGTGTGCCGAATAGAAAACAACAAACGACAGACGAAACATCCTTGCGAGTGCAAACTTTAGATGATAAAGGACTTTTTGAGTAGCAAACAAACAATAAAGAGGTTGGTAAATCTTTTCCGAAGCTTTCTTATTGAGAAAAATAGAAGCAGGGAGTTTGAAAGCTTTCTAAGCGTGAACTTAACGACGATCTCCGAATTTTTTTTATGACACCCAAAATCAATAAGACATTCAGTATAATAAAATAAATAGTGCACGTTTTTGAGGGTAACAGTTGAAATTGACACCCCTCGGAAAACCATTGTCAACCTCCGCTGACGCATCGGTTGACAATGGTTTTCCTTGGGGTGTCAATTTCAACTGTTACCCTCAAAAACGTGCACTATTTATATAATATACCCCCCTTACAACTAGCAAAATATTTTTTTTAAAAAACTTTTGAGATCAATTATATAATATTTTTCCATTAAACAAAGCATTTTGTAAAGGAACTTTTTGATGCGCAAGAAAAATAACATCATGTTTCTGTTTACTACATCATCAATTTCAGAGAGGGGTGATATGGATTCGGAAAACCACAGTGTGATGATCTGGAAAATCAGATCACACCATCACATGATTGTATGTAATCTACAGTAAAATTGAGTGATACACACTTGGGTATATAATAAAACAAGTTATGTTTATATGACTGTGCCGGTCAGTCGGGCTCGATCGCCGGTGGCCAGATAGCTCAGTTGGTAGAGCACCTGACTGGAGATTCAGGGGGCCCAGGTTCGAATACCAGTCTGGTCTATCACATTTTTCTCCTCTCCTGTTACATAATGAAGCAAAATCATCCATCCCTGGCACTTTGTTTTAAGCATGTTTTACTGTATATTGTTCATTGATATATATTCTCCATTCTCCATAAATAAGCATATGTTCTCTGAAATTCTTTTCAAATGTTACTCATCTCAGAGGTCTGATTTCTTTTCAAAGAACTGTACAAAAACATGTATAACTTTTAGTCAGGGGATCTAAAAAGAATTCAGTATTATTTACTTGGCAAAGAAGAATAGGCATGACAGCTCATGAAGTTCACAAAATTCTAGATTAACATTTGTTAAAATGATAGGGGAAAAAATCATGATGAAAGACCAGTTCAAGTACTTAGTAATTGATTATTTAGTACTTTCTCATGCAATGTACCATATTTCTTTCAAAAAATAGTCAGTATGACAATTTGGTAACAGTCGATTTTATATTTCTATTGAACAGGTTGTTGGAGTTCATGGCCTGGAGTGGTTATACTGCAGTGTTTGAAATCCTGGCTCCCGATCATCAACACATCGTAAATTTGTCCTACCTCTCTGGGTATCTGCTATACATATATGTATAAGAAATGTTTTTAAATTGTATATATATATATATATTGTATGAATGTTTTAATGGCAATTTTCATATCAATCCCTGAACACTGGAAGGATTATTGTCTGAAAACTATGCATGAATTTTATTGAATATACATTTATGTTCATGTATTCATAATTAGGCATTTCAATCTAAAAATCACAACAGGATTTGAACTGATTCTGCTCAGTTCTAAGATGCCACTGTTCTTTTTAATTGATCATTAAGCTGCAACCATGCAACCCTTAAACACCTCTGATGCTAAAAAGCATCACTTTTTTCCTTGCAGTCAACTTCATGATCTGTGTAAGGATTAGGATTTCTGATTTTTAATTAATACCAAGAATTAAGCATATTTTAGTGGTTGCACTATTAGATTTCTGTTATGCCTCAGAGTGTATGAAATACATGTTCAAATAAGAAAGGAAGGCTGAGAAGGGTAGTGTTTATAGTGTCAGTATGGTGATCCTCACAAGATGACAAAGAATATGAGTAGGAAGGGGGGGGTGGTGCTGCCTTTGTTTTTTGTGATTTTAAAGTGATTTATTCTGACAGTTATATCTATATTTTTCAGTCCAGAGCTGAAATTTATCACATGGACAAAATTTGATTTAAACCCAACTGATGATGATTGTTTAGGAGCTATTCCTCCTCACATTGGTATAGAGGTATGCATTATAAAATCATATCAGTTTACTAAAAAAGGTACCAGGAGAAACAAAATTTTCCTGTCATCATCGCTAATCAAGTATTCGAATTATTTCTGCCATTTGTTTTGACCTCAGAATTAATACCTTAGTTTTCACAGTTCAACAGAAAGCCTTTTTCACTCTCATGTCAAATACGCTGATAATTAGTCATATGCAATATTTCTATGAATTTTATCATCTCTTTGTAACATACACGGCATTGCTGAATTTCTATATACATGTATTTTCTAAATTTTCTAATTGAATGTTCAAAAATATTTTGAGTCATACCTCTCACTTTTCTCTATATTTGTTACATGGCAACGGAAGGCAGAGAGGAAATGTAGTTTGTATTTGCATGTCCAGTAGAATCTGCTTTTCTGTATTTCAGATTGCCAACGCTTTGGGGTTATCTGGTGTATCTTATGATGTTATATCCACATCAGATTTAGATGAAAGAATGACAAAGGTAAGGGCAGATAACTGTGTAGAGAACATTTAATGAAAATCTAGGGCTTTAGCTTTGGTTAGCTTGGATAATTAGGGGCCCTGCAACAAAATGAAGATGACTTGTAGTAATTGCTCTATCCATCTGTCTTTCGACAATTTTATGTGATGTAATATCTTCAGCACCTTTCAACCAAAGACTTCACGTATTCTAAATGGAGAGGATGGTGAAAGGAAAGTCACAATCAGAGGTCAAAATTACTTATATGACCATTGTGATGTAATAAATTTAATCTTATAATTTGTAGCATTTAGACTTCATGTGCATAAGACGAATGTTTTCGGAAACACACATAGGTTTGGGATTCAACGTGCAGTGAATATCGGCCTGGGTAGCCATTAAAGATCAAGATACTGTAAAAGTGGTTATTTACGCGTGGGGGAAATTTACACTACTTACACGGTAAGCTTAGAACCGCGTAGAATACCCCCGCGTGTATGATCACAAAATTTCAAAGTTCTGGATTCATTCTTGACAGCTGTCACTAATACTGTTAGATCGGTCGAACCTGTCGTATATTAATCGTGGTATTGAACGCATGTGAGTAGATAAATACATCATAAACAGTGATGAAAACGTAAGTGTTCTTTTTTATAATTGTGCATTGAAAAATGCATCTTCATATTAAATATTTCAAAGCAACTTCACACTATCAAAACATCGACACTCATTTTCATTTCATTTTTATGTACGTCCCTCTTAATTTCAAATAATTAGTCCAAAATGTTACACAAGCTCACAGTCACTACAAACATACCTATTGAATTAATTGTCAACACTCGCCACGCAGATACAGGTAAGTAGATCCCACTTTGAAGTTTGAGCTTGCGTAAATAATTACAATACATTTCACACTTCATCGCTTTTAACTGTGCAGATTGCCATTATATTTAACAATCCAAGGAACATGCACATATCGATATAAATCAGTATAAATTCTTTTTGTTTTCTTTTGTTTGTTTGTAATTATTTCTAATTTCTTTTTTTTCTTATTCATGCGTGTAAACTACTTGATCTTTTCAAAGGGGAACAACTCGGTGTTAGTAACGATGGCCGCGTAAATTTTTCTCGGTAACTTGTGCGACCGCGTATATTACACCCACGTGTAATGTTTGACAGTCACAAACGCGTACTTAACAACCAGTGTAAATAACCACTTTTACAGTAACTCATATACACCATTGCAATGGAATATCTTGGATATTTTAGGTGCAATGTTGATATCCAATATGTAGTAAAAAGAATGATTAGAGACATTGATTGATATCCCTTAAATAAAAATCAAAGATTCAAAGCTTGATATATTGGCTATTACATATGTCAGTGATGAAGTAACTTAAAGTTAATATATTTATTTTTTACCTAAAAGGTATATTTTCATTACATTGGAAAACAATGGCTAGAAGATATCTATAGACTGATAGGTCATTCACTCAAGTTCAAGGTCAATTTGTATTTTTGTTTTTTGTGCTGCAGAAATTTTTTTTCAATATGAATTCTTCTACATAATCAGAGGAGAAATTAGTTTTTAAGGCCACCAGCTCAAAAAATTAAGCTTAAAAGGTCAAGATAATTGAAACATACAGAAAATTCTGATTCTGGTTTTGTAAGACATACCGTATATACTTGCCTGTAAGTCGGTCCGCCTATAAGTCGGTTGTATTTTTTAAGCTTAAATTAGAGGGATTGACCTGTTAAAATACCAATTTTTTTATAACTCGCATATAAGTCAGATAAAGAGTTCTGAGCCAATGTTTATCTTCCAATATTTATATTTCCCAATATTATTCCTTAAGATTCTTTGCAAATTAGAAGACTGTTCATTTTCTCATGAACTACCATGGATGAGCATGAATATATCCATTGTTACGTCATAATACGGTACTTGACGTCAAACGTATAGTGCAAACTGTTTTGCTTTAAAAATGATATTTGAATGGCGTAATTTGTGGCAACTCATCAGAAAAATAATGTAAATATAAGAAATGATTTTAATTTTTAAAGATTCATGAGGTACATGAACTACAACGCTTCAGGTCGGCATATTTATCATGAAGCTAACGCGCTTCATGAAATATGCCGTTGTGAAGCGTCGTAGTTCATTGTCCTCATGAATCTTCAAAAATTAAGTCAGTTTTCTAGATATTTTTATTCAAGACAAAATACATGTACCTTCATATTTTTAGCAATTATTAGAAAGCTGTAGTATGTGCTTTCATTCTACTTTTTTAAAATGACAACTAAGGAAAGAAAACCACATGAGGAAGTGAAATTATTTCTGCACTATAAATTTAGATAAGACGAGAGTTTGATTGTGAGGGAGAAGTCCTTTATTTCATGGACCAACAGGGAGAAGTTATTGGACTTCTAAAGAAGAAAACTGTTTGGTAATTTTTATTTTTGATATCAATTGATAATGGAGTTTTCTTTTATATGAATTTATTCATCTGTTGTCTGATTATTAACATTTTAATTAACTAATTCCCAAAAACTATCTAACTCCTTCAAAAACCACTGGTTAATTCAACCAGATTTTCCCCAAAGCAAACTTAGATAAAGACAGTTATACTTTGTAAAAGAATAAGATAATTGTTCTATTAAGGTTCAAGTATTCTGTACAAATATAAAGTAAAATCTTCATTTTTTGGGGATTATAATGACAAGTTAACTTGTAAAAATATATGCAAGCACCCTAGCTTGAGGCCTCAGGTTCCACCTAGAACTAAAACAATCGAACCATAATGATGACCCTTTAGTAAATGAAGGGTAGTATCAATTCATTAATTATGAAATATTAAACCTAGTGTTCAAGATAGATGAAGCCATAACAGGGGTTCAGAATTTTACAAGGGGCATACATGTATTTATAGCTTAAATAAAATTCTTGAACAAAATATCAAGAAGGTTGCAACTTGTTAGATTCATATGCAAGTATTTTCTTGCAGTGTTTATTCTTTTTAAGATCCTGACCCCTGGGTTTGGGGGTTGGGACTGGAGGATGTAATAGTGATATAAATTCATTTGGAATGGTGACCTATGGACCTCTTGTTTGACATTGTGTCTGTACAGAGTAATTGTCTTTTCAAATTTGCATTGCTTCTTGTTACTGTTTTTTCACAGAAACTTTTGCATAATATTTATATTTATGGAGTAATAATGTTTTTTTCCTATATTGCTATTCATATTAAAAATGTCTAAATTTCAGGTATATAATGTGTCGAGCAATAAGGGAAAAATTACGATCTGGTTGTACCGTTAAACAAAAGCAGACTGAACCATTTTCTTTACCCAGAATCCAAACCAAGGTCAGAAAACATTGTTTATATCAATGCAAAAGTGGAAAAGGTCGAGGCATGGTCAAATTCTTTTTCCAGCAACTACAAGGAAACGTTTTTCCTGTGAATTTATGAGGAATAATAGCATCAAAATAACTATACATTTGAACAGTTGAAAATATAAAACAAGATGAAAATTCCATTTTATTAATATTTGTCAATTTTGTCAAAACTTGACACTTGAATTATCTATCTTCTTTGAGTAGATGGAAAAAAGAATAGATGAGATTCAAAGATGGCTGTCACTTGATGATGAAACAACACAAGATTGGAAGGTTATAAATTGGATTCCGTTTTTGAATTGTTTTGTCATTATTTTTTTCCCCCCAGATTTTCTTTTCCTTATATAAAATGTGTAGACAAAGAACATGCCATTCTCTTTCTTTGCAGAATCTTGCAAACAAATTTTTAAGCTGGACACTGAATAAGTTTGAAGTAGATTTCACATGGGACAATATCATTGACAAGTACCCCGTTACATGGTAAGGCACTACTTATTTTCTCTGGTGATTAAGTACTCGTTTTTGATACTTGAAGTTTAGAATTATGTTGAGTTTAGTTTTATGTTAAAAGAGAGATAACTATGTCTGTTTGAATTTGCACCATTTTGAATTCCCTTGCTGAAAATGAAGCCAAAAGGAGTGGGAGAGAAAAAAAAAGACAATGGGAATCTGTATTCAGTTTGTATTGTAGATTTGATGATTTATGAAAAAAAGGATTCATATCTGAATATAGGAACATTTTGCATCATGAATGAATGAATATTAGTTTTTTTCTAAAACTAAAATGTGGATATAAATATGTATGGTTTTACCATGCACAATTCTTTTTTTCTGTACTCTATAATTATATACAGTCAAAGCACTTGTTAGTGTTTAGAGCTTCCTTAATATATACTTGTAGCGCTCCATTCCTTAAAAGCAATGGACCTTGGTCCCTTTGTAACTCTGTTACTTTTAACGAGGTTGGATCCTGATATTTAAAGTCTTAAACTTTTTTTGTAAAGTCTATTTTATGTTTCTACACACATAGCTTAATTAAAAATCAAAACTAAAAATAGGGGTCAATATGCTTTTTTTGGCGCTACAGTACATTTAATATGACCTTTTCGCACTGAAATTTGTGTCTTAATCAAAAATCACATCTTCAACGTTTTCCTCCAAAGTTTTTATCCAAATAAATATGGGACAAAATAAACTATTAGTCTATTTAAAAAGAGACACATTAAAGTTGTGACTAAGAAAAAGTTTCAAATTAATTAATTGACCTTTCTGCACTCACAAAATGTGATTTTTCTGGCATTAAAAATTTAACCAGCAAGAAAATTATTTTAAAGTCTTAAACTTTTGCTGAATTTAGGCAGATTGATCAAAGTTATCTTATTATATTCAGAAAAGAAAAACAAAAGTGGGGATCTATGATATAAATTTTTAGATATTACTAAAAAAGTTTTAATTTTATGATAAAATTGGCTCAATTTTTTCCTAGAATTTCAGAATATATATACTATATTTGTCACAATATAATGAAAGAATTTATAAGAAATACTTTAATAGATATTTCAGAACCAGCATGAACATTTCACTGCAAAAAACATCTCTGTTTGCAATCAGCATGGAAAAATAGGAATCTAAGCTTAACAGTACTGTATATATTTCAAAAGGGAAAAAAATGATCATTTTCTTCTAAAAAAGCTTCCGCCTCAAAATATAGTTCCTGGCTTAATCCTATTTGAATGGAATTTAATCACGGTTTTTTCATTGGATATAGTTTAATTTGCATCGTAGAATCCAGATTTAATGTTAGAACTTAAAAATGATGCAGAATTTTAGAAATAAATGACTTACAGATTTTTTTTGACAGACATCTAACTTGGTACACTGGTACCTCCTAAATAGTTAATGACCCATATTGATTTTGAGGTCACAAAGTTTAGGTCAAGGGTTAATCTACTCTGAACATAGGAAGATATGGTCCTCTTAATATCTTGAGAATCATTTGCTGGCTGGACAAACATCAAACTTGGTACACTGGTACCTCTTAGAAGTAAATTATTGTAATGGTATCTAGGTCTTATAGAGAATATGCTTGCCCCTGACTAATAGGTACCCCCTCTTTTCACTATCATTAGAGACATTCTAAATTTCAAGTTGATCTTTTTTAATATTGCCACTTGGGGTGCATTTATATTCTAAACCATTTCCTTATACCGGTACTTTAAATTTTTAGGAAACAATTTTTGGAAGAGAACAATGAAACTGACAGGATTAGTGTCAAATGTTACGAAGCCTCCTTAAAGAAGTAAAAAGCTGCAAGGAATATCAAATGATTCAGAAGAGGTTGAATTGTTTGCATCACTGAGAAAGAAATTTTCTCAGGTCTCATAGCTAACAGCACAGGAATTTGGGAGCATAGGAATGCTTTGTGTGCAGCACCAAAGGAGATGATGTTCCGTTTTCTCAGATATAGCATTAGATCCTGCATTTTTAATTGTATTATACACCAGGAAAACATTATTTCAAATCTACCACCTGATATTACTTGAGTCACCAGCATTGATTGAATGTCATGGAACGGTGTGATTCTGCAGTCTGAAATGCAAAGATGGGACCGAGTATCTGTATGTGTCATCTGTAATTGAAAAAGTTTTCATTAACTTGGTGGCACACATATCAAACAACCGAAACAAACTGAACATTTCTCATTCTGAAATTTTAGCAAGCATAAACTTTTATGTGAAGGGTACCAAAATTGTGTCTTCAGAACTTCTCTTTTTTAGATTCCGTTAATTTCTGCAAATGTGAAGATGTGTATTTCTGATCTTGGACAGATCTTAGAAATCTCTGGGCAAGATTGATTTAGATAAATGTTTATATTTATTATTTGTTCACATCTTGTTCGTTCTATTTTGAAGCTATAATTTGAATTTATTTCTTTTCCATTTCCGAAAAGATATACATGTACATATAATTGTAAAATGTTACTTTTTATGAACTGAACCTATTACAATCTGTATTGACTGTAGAAATTTAAATCTTTAAGTACAATGTTTACTGGTATATACAAAATATTTAATTATACATTTTTATGAACTGAACCTTTTCAAATCGGTATTGATTGTAAAAATAGAAATCTTTAAGTACAATGTTTACTTGTATATACAAAATATTAAATTATTATACATTTTTATGAACTGAACCTTTTAAAATCTGTATTGATTGTAAAAATTTAAATCTTTAAATACAAGGTTTACTAGTTTATACAAAATATTAAATTATACATTTTTTTCTTTGTTTTTTTTTGTCATTTTATATAGTTTACTTTGGCGTTAAATGTGTATTTGTTTTAAATTTTTAATTAAGCATTGAAGACTTTTTTATTATGTGACAAAGTTAATCAAATGATGATAGGCAAGGATGGCTATGTGCAACCTCTTTGGTACACAGATGTATGAGCTAATGATTGAAAAGAAGCTTTGAATTTTATCATTTTTTCTCGCAATAACCTAGATCTTGCATCAGATTCATGGCATACATGGTTATATTTACATTCATATTACGTACAAACTTCCAAAAAATATTGCTGTGGCTTGGACTAGCGAGAAAACTGTACCTTTTAGAACTTCATGAACAGTCCCTGAAAGTCAAGAAGACAGGTCACGCTTGTAATTTTATATGCTGTTCAGTCTCCGCTGGAAGCTTTTACAATATATTAGACAGTGTTAAGAAAAAGTTTCAGGGCATAAGCCTTTACTTTTAACCTTGACATTGTATTCACACTTGAAATTTTGGCCAGTGTAAGTATAAGCTAAGGTTATTCTTTTTAACGAGAGAAATGCATTGTCAAAGAGACAAGCAATTACCGTAACAATCAGTCTATATCCTTTATCCAGAGAATGAGCAATAAACATTACTTCTTGCTGATTACCAAGAGATGATGTTTGCGTACTTAGATGTCAAGAATTATAGAATGTTTTTGACTTGTAATTTATTTCTATGTGTTCAGTAGCTTGCTGTGGAGTCTGTACCAAGGGAAAGATTTTCAGCTTCAGTTAATTAGTTAATACATGTACATGTATTACCGGTATACACAATTTATGTGAAAAATTAAAAGGAGTGAAGCTGAATATTAAAGAATGCATCCTTTTTCTTTACTGAGGAGCAAAATTTTCATGAATTGAGGAAAAAGAATTGGTTTTGATTTGATTTCATGGTAGAGGAAACATGATACTGATATACAGGTAAACTTCGTTATCTCGACATCGACGGGACCATCGGAAAATGTCGAGATATCCGAGGTGTCGAGATATCAGAGTTGAGACTTGACGTCCAAGATTTCACTGCATAACCAAACACATACATGTGTATAAGCTTATTATACGTACATGACTTCAATATAGACTGTAGGTCAACTTATTTCAGCAATCCCTCTATTTTTATTAAAAATCTAAGAAGTTATTTTTTAAAATCTTATTTATAAAACCTGTTCTTTCTCTTTATCGAAATCATTCTAAATTTTTGTAGTTTTCCATCCAGCATTCGCGTGTTACTTGCTTTTTTGTCAGAACAGGATACGAAATGCGCTCTGTAAACTTCGAACCGAACCGTAAAAACATGATAAAGTCGACATCCGAGATACGAAAACATATTAAATGCGTAATCATTTTTTTTTCTTATTTCATTCAGGAAGAATGTGTATTTAAATTTAAAAGTTAAAAGACATAGTTTTTTGATTCTAAATCTAATGGTTTTCTAGTTATGATTTTTCCATATTTGGCCATAGCGTCTTCCTTAAAGGTCAGAGCGACCTGGTTTTAATGTGCGACACACCTTCTACCCTAGATGTATCAGCTGACAAATTTTGATAATTCTAGGCCTAATAGTATTAAAGTTATGAGCCGGACATGAAAAAGCTAACGGATGGACGGACATGAACGCTATAACATAATACGTCCCGTCTTAAGATGGACGTATAAAAAAAATATAATGAGTAATTAAATTTTCACTGAAAAAGTTTATGGAAATTGTGAACACCTCTCACATCTAGAAAACCCAGCGGGGGGTATTTGTCCCTTTTGGACAGTTCTAGTTTGAATTTTATTTTTATTTGTTCTCAATATGTTACATTTAAGGAGCCCATTTTGCAAAAAAAAAAAAAAAAAAAAAAAGTAGCACTCGGCCTATCCATCTGACTTCTTGGATGTTTGTAATTTGTTGTAAATAAAGATTTTTTTAACAAATTTTTGTTGCATTAATGATTTTTGTAGCAGTTTTTTGATTAAATGCATTAATATTTCTGTTTAGGTGTATGGGAGACTAAAGAGTCTGAGTGTCTGCAGCTTATTGAGTAGATACATGTACATGTATTATCACAATTATAAAGAATCTGCAAGTTTCATTGAAATCCATTCAGAAAGTAATAGGTACCCTGGTTATTCTTGTTAGAAAAATATGACACAAATTTATAGACTGACTAATGAATCTGATTTTATTTGTACTGAAACCATTTTTTAGTTAAATTCATATTCATATTCTAGCTCTAGTTCACTTTCACTTTCCTCACTGCTGCCTGAATCACAATCAATAGTTATACATCTGTATTTTTCTCGGCTGCAGCCAGCACTGGCAACAGCCATCGCCCATGCTGCTTCAAAACCGGAAATGAAAAACACTTAGTAAAACTTACACCAGACTGATCGCAATTCCGGAATCATCACCACGTTTAAAAAAGGGTTCGTAATCTGTTAAGAAAAGCGTCAAATGACGATTTTATGTTTACGTTTTTTATTCACTACGTTTGATAAAACAAACGTGATAACCGAAGACCTCTGCTGCACTATACTGATTTTTCTTGACATGATTATACTGATTTTTGAAAGTGAAGTAACCGGCGCCATTGTGTAAATAGACGGCGAAATCGCCGGTCACCGGCACTTAATGAGAACCCTGCAAATACGATGATCTAACAAAAGTATGTCACAAATACGATGATCTAACCAAAGTATGTAACAGAAAAAGAAGTAAAATATGATGGTCTAACTAAAGTATGTCACAGAAAAAAAGTAAAATTAGTAGATCAGCAGTTATACAATGATCTAACCAAAGTATGTCACATAAAAAAAAGTAAAACTAGTGGTGAGAGTGATTGATCAGTAATTATATTAAATTTAATATTATTTTTTTAAGAGATACATAGGCAATTTTGCCACATATGATCCACATATGCATTGCCCTTCATATGAGGATCATATAAGGATCATATGAGAATCATATGTATATTCAATCATATGAGTATCATATGTGGCAAATCATATGTGGATCATATGAAAACACATATGTAAATCATATGAAGCAATATACATATGATACACATATGAAAGATATTGCATATGAGAATCCTATGTATACTTTGAGAATTATCATATGAGAATCAAATGAAACAGATCTGTGAGTGTTTATATATTTGTCCTTGTTATAAACAGGTAAAATTCATTTTTATTTTAATTCAATGAGATAAAAAAAAATACGTTTATTCAATGTTAATCAGTTAACACTTGAGTAATTTCATATTAAGCTTAATGTGAATAAGTTGGTGTTATACATGTATTTTAACAAGTAGACTGCATGATTAAAAAATAATTTCAATAACATATATCAAGGTGTGTAAATTCCTTAAGAAGCTTGGATAAAAAGGGAATAAGTAATCTATTACTCCCCCCCCCCCCCACTCCCCCCCCCTCCCCCCCAAAAAAACCCTTTCATAAAATATTCAAAATTTGTTTTCTTGAAAAACAAAATTCATCAAGAATAAATTGATTTGTATTTTATCCAAAAACTGTCATGGTTGGTTTTATTTTATGAGTAAAATTAAAATCATTCCACATTTTATTTACGGACCGGTTTTGGTTTTTATCAGATGAAAGTGTACGTCATGTTTGACGTCACTTCTGCAGCAGAAGAGTTGGGTGTTGGAAAAAGTAAGTGATCTCGGATACGTTTTGAAAGACTTTTTAAAGGCTAGTTCATTGTGTTTAGATCATTTCATTACGGTTACAGATGAGTATAAACTTTCTAGTATTCTCATCACTTGTATATAATTGTTATTAAGATTAATGCAGTTCGTAAAAAGCCGATAAACCTAGGTATCAATAAGTAATTTTGTTTGTTAACGATGAATGTTTAGGCCATTTAGCATCACTTATTTTTCAGATTTGTTTCCCTTTTGTTAATAGCTACGCTTGAATATTTATCAGTTTATATTCGATATGAAAGTGAAAGTAGAAACCTTGTAAAGCAGTTAACGTAAAATGTTTGTTGAGATCGTTATTTATTCGGTTCTTTCATCAAATTAATGAGAAACGTGTTTTAAATAATGTATTTAGGAACTGGAGTTCAGTGTCACAGTGCTATTTTGTATTTTTTTTGTTCAAAGAACCAAAGCTGATTAGACTGACGATTGAACACAAAGCTGATTTGACTGACGATTTAGACCCAAAGCTGGTTTGGCAGACGATGCATGATCACAATGCAGGTAAAATAAATAAATAAATACAATAATCATCACAGTATATATAAGTAATGACTTAAACATATATCAAAAACTAAATTAATCCAACTCTTTTTCTATAGAAAAAAATCCAGGACACTAATAAATATATATAGTATGAAAACATGTGAAAATATGTAAGGCATATATTATAGAACTTGCTGGCTATAAAAACTATGAAGAACTATAAAACTATACATCATCTTCTGGGGGATAATGACTTTTAGCTTAATCAGACATTCAAGGTACTATTACATGTGTATTGAAAGTACATTATCTAATTTCATTTGATTATTTACATGTATATAAATTGACATTTATAGATTTTTTTTTCAACACTAGAGAATTTAACCTAAAGACTTGTACTCACTCTCTTTTGTAGTTTCTTTTAACTTTTAGTTGGATTAGATATATGTCTAGAAAATATTTATACTGTGTGAATATTTGTTCTATAATTTATATAGGTTCAATATACAGTCAGCCTCTCTCATTAATAAAATGGAAGAACAGACACCAGTATCCTAGGCTTGCTTCAAAAAAGGGTAAGTACACCCTGTATAATAAACTTTGTTATATTTTTCCCAACAAAGTTTTAGGATATACTGGATTCACAATGTCTGTTTCTCTGCCTGTTTGTTTGTCTGTAGATTTTTTGGTCCAAAAATTGTACATTTGTATCCGAATCTATTTAATTTTTTGCAATCTGAATTAATATATACTATTTGAACATTCCAAATTCAATTGTCAAAATTTTATGATTTTATTATGAAGCATGTCTTCCAAAAGTGAAATTAATGTCTTGGAAATAATATAGGGTGTCAACAACTGTTTTAAAACATTACCTGGTAGTTTTATCATATAAATGTATACACTTTCATGTACTTTGGTTAATGATTTGGGGGTCTGCATCAAGCAGAAATGGATTATATATATTATATCAATTATTTTTTTTATATAAATTAAAAATTTGCAGAGAGAATGTCAATTGGCTTAAAGAAAGATTTAGCATCAACCCCTGGATTTCTTTTAAGGGTACAGAAGTACAGGTATGATGAATAAAATTGCTAGCTAACTATTTGCAAGAATTGAGCATTTAAGTAGATGCACTGAGCATTTAAGTAGATGCACTGAGCATGTATGTCATATTATATGAAACTAATAAAGGTTATAGTCAATATGTATAAAAGTGAACCATTTTTTCTTGAAGAATCTTAGTATGTGTTTGATGTATAGAAAAATAAGTGAAAAATGCATTGCTTTATTCATTCAGGAGATGCTCAGCAATCTGGCAAAGAAGGCTGGCTGGACATGAAATGTTATGGGGGTTATGTCTACATGTAGCTTTGGATCCACATATTACAGAAATCGCATCAGAGCAAAGGTGTGCACACATTTTATTTATATATGTTAATTACATATCATCCTAAGAAGTATTAAAGTCTATTGCTAAATTGAATTACCTCATCAAAACAAAAGTTTGCACTGCATTCCATTTAAGCTATAAATTGTGAATTGAATTGTTCAGAAAAAAATGTTTTAGCTGATGGGTAACAAAGAAGTTGATGTAGAGGGTCCCTCCATTAAGTCTCTACATAATTATCGATGAAAATGTTTCCTTCCTTCTACAATTATGCTAACAAATCCAGAGAGGGAATACTTCACACTGATGCTAGTATGATGCTAGTATGAAAACAGTAAGAGTCAACATTTTAAATTGTAAAAATATTGATGTTAAACTTTAATGTTAAAAATTTGAGATACACTGTATATATTTGTTTATTGGAAGGACATCTTTGCTAGTAAATATGATCAATGATAGAAAATTAGTTCATGTTTGTTGGATGTCACAAACAATTGTTCCAATCATATTCATCTTTAAAATCACTTGAGCCTTCAGCTCAGATGAGCTAAAAACAAGTACTTTCATTTTAAATGAAAGTACTTGTTTTTAGCTCATCTGAGCCGAAGGCTCACGTGAAGTTTTCTGATCAAAATTGTCTATTGTCCATCATCATCATTGTTGGCATAAACTTTTCACATTTATGTCTTCTTCTCCAGAACCACTGGACTAATTTCAACTGAACTTGGCAAAAAGGACCAATAGTAAGGTACCAGTAGGGGTTCAAAGTTCAACCTATAGATTATATAGGGTAAAGTCTTTAAAAATCTGCTATTCAAGAACTACCACACTAAAATTTGTGATATTATTTTGCAAACATCCCTATGCAGTGTTGTTTCAAGCTTGTTGAAACAATGACCATTAAATCACCAGTGGGGCCCCTGAAGGGTTGCAAAGTTTTACATAGTAATTTATACTTGTGTATAGGAAAAAATTAAGTCTTTTTAACAAATTCTACATTGCTACAATAGTGGGGCCTAAGGAGGGGATCTTGAGTAAATTTGTTCAGTATGGAACAAATATCAAAAAAATACTTTTGCAATTTATTCCAGCACTTTTTAGCTCACCTGAGCTGAAAGCTCAAGTGAGCTTTTCTGATCACCCGTTGTCCGTCGTCCGTCCGTCTGTCTAGCTGTCCGTCTGTCCGTCCGTCCATCTGTAAACTTTTCACATTTTCAACTTCTTCTCAAGAACCACCTGGCCAATTTTAACCAAACTTGGTACAAAGTATTCTTGGGGGAAGGGGAGTTTAAATTGTGAAAATAAAGGTCCAAGTCCCCTTACAAGGGGAGATAATCAAGAAAAGACAAAAATAGGGTGGGGTCATAAAAAAATCTTCTTCTCAAGAACCACTGGGCCAGAAAAGCTAAAACTTATGTGGAAGCATCCTGGGATAGTGTAGATTCTAAATTCTTCAAATCATGACCCCCGGGGGTAGGGCGAGGCCACAATAGGAAATACAATTTTTACATTGAAATATATAGGAAAAATCTTTAAAAATCTTCTTCTCAAGAACCACTGGGTCAGAAAAGCTGAAATTTATGTGGAAGCATCCTGGGGTAGTGTAGATTCTAAATTATTCAAATCATGGCCCCTGGGGGTAGGGCGGGGCCACAATAGGTATTACAAGGGGGAAGTCTGGTAATGAACAGCATGGCCAAAGTTACTCAGGTGAGCGATGTGGCCCATGGGCCTCTTGTTTTGTATTGACACACATTTCACAAAAGCCACTTGTGTCAGAGTTAAGTGAGTTTGCCATTGTTGCTCAGGTGAACAATGTGGTCCATGGACCTGTTGTTATTATTATTAATGCTAATTATTTTCAAAATAATTTTTAGAGATTATTCTGTGCCACAAACAAATTGTTCAGAAAGGGGACATTGGTGGATTTGAATTTTGGGTACAATTCAAAGAATTTTCAATATGATGATGGAAGATCAGAGGGAGGACAAATGGGAAAAGTTGACAGAGAAAGAAGAGAAAAGAATTAGGAAATATCTGGAATAAATATGAATGAGGAGGATGTACTTAATCTTGTCAGACTTTGACATGCAAGGCTTTCTATATTTATATGTATACTGGAATATCATTTTGATTGTAAAATCTCATTTTAATGTATTCACTTTTTATATTTTATGCTTTATGCATAAATACATAAACATTTTCATGAAAAACTATATATATGTATATATGTATCTTTGTTCGATCGAGACACCATCCTTTGTGATTTCATACTCATTTATGTGTTAAATATGCTGTAGGTACATGTAATCTGAATTTATGATTTGTCATAAATTTACAATAGAGATTACATATATTGACAAATGTTATTGCAGATATTTCAATTTTGCTAAGGACACTTCCATGCCATATGGTATTTTTATACAAGTTCATGATCTAATTATGATATTTATTGGTACATGTATACATGTTCATTTCCTTGATCATTTTGCTGAAATCCTTTCAAATAATTTGTACTCGTTTTAGAATATGTAAAATACATGTATCGACAAATGCTACTGACTTGTTTGTATACTTTCTTTTTTAAAGTGTGCACTGTGTGATATTAGTTATTTCTGTTGATGAAGATACTTTTGGAAAATTATGCAAGCATTATCAAATATTTACAGGTATTTAACAGATCATTGGAATGTACTGAAATTTCATCTAAAGCAGAAATACCTGGTTTTCAATGTGTACAAGTGTGTATTTCCTTTTGAAAAATATGAAAAAAAAACCCACATAAATGTTTCATATGATATACATATGATGCCCATTTCATATGATTCTCATATGTAAATGACTTGAAACACACTAAAACTTTTCATATGATTCACATATGTGAATCATATGTGACTCATATGATTTGCTTCATATGATTCACATATGATGCCCTTTTTTATGATTCTCATATGAAACCAATCATATGATTCACATATGATACACATATGTGGATCATATGTGGCAAAGTTGCCTGTGTATGTGTATCTAAACTAACGTAGTGATATTACAGATGCATGAATTACGGATGATTCGGTTAATCTTGTCGTTAATCGATTATTTCCTGTTGAATGCATTTTAACTACAAAATATTATTAGAACATCGTTTAATTCTTTCGTTTGAATTTATTCAATATGTTTATTATTCTTTGTCATTTAGTTATCTTTTTCAATTTTAAAAGTTATGTTACGTTTCGACATAAATAAACACCTGTAAATTTAAGCAGAATCGTGTAGATTTAGCAATGATATTACCCAAGCTGAACATTAAGCAATTAACGTCTCAAAGACGCCGAGGGGCTTTGGATTCACCTACAAACACAGTCTATAGAATTAATTAAGCAGCGTGCAGTCAAAACATGGGTGTAAAAGGTGTGAATTTTTGACGACGTCGAGATACCCGGAGCCGTCCGTGCGTGACGAGCGACCCTATCTGACAAACAGTTAGGTTCAGTGGAGCAGAAAATTGCCGATGTCGACATATACCAGGTAAATTTTGCTCATGGGACTGTGAATATACGTAGAGATAACCAGGGTTGTCGAGATTACCGAGGTCGACATATCAGAGTTTTTGCAAATCATTTATATAGTAAATACTGCTGTGACCGCGGACGGACGTCGACATATCCCAGGTTGTCGACATATCCGATGTCCAGATACTGAAGTTTACCTGTATAAAACTTTACCATTTATGGATATACACATACACTGACAAAGTGATATGACCAAAATCTGTAGGTGATTTGCTCTGTAGTAAACTACTTCTGTACAAAAATGCAATATGTTGAAGATCGAGTTAGGACTTCACAACAGTGTTGACAGACAGAGGGACAAAGTGACTCCTATAGGGCTTCTGCATTTTCATGCGGGACCCTAACTAATTATTCTGGATGTCAGGTAATGTATAACTAAATGTAGATGTTCTTTGAACATTTAAGATATATGGATCAATCTTCATAGATGAAAAACACATATCTAGGAGATTTTTCATTCTGTTTAAGAAGATGTCAAAAACTGAAACCATTAAGCAAGTCGTAAAGAAATTATTTTGAATGGAATGATATTTTCTGTTCACCTAATGAAAAAATAAAATAAACTGATGCAAGTTTTTGTAAATTTATTCTATGTATAAACATAAAGGTTAGATGTCAATATGTTTGTTATCATTAAAAGTTTGCTCTGCACAATCCAAAATATTCCAGATCCATATGTTTCAGTACATACATATCATTTTTTTCTTTTGTATTTATTCTACATCAACTGAAAAAAATCTGTATCCCTTTACACAGTCAATCTTTCAGAAGATACCTTAAATGTCTTGGACTTGGCAGTTCTTAATTTTCCCTCTCAATCATTTTGGTGCATATTCAAACTGCATTGCATGTAACACAGAAAATATCATAAATATCAAAATTCTAATGCCACTACTTCTTAGCAGCCTTTGCTGTTTCTTTTTTGTCAGATTCTTTTTCTCCATCTTTCTTTTCCGATTCTTTTGCCTCTTTCTTCTTTTCCTTCACCAAGTCTTTCCCTTCATTTTTCTCTGCATCTCTGTTTTGAATCTTGTTACTGATGAGGTTATGTAGAGCAATAATGGAACGAATGAGAGAAGCCAAGTACACTACTAACATTTGATCGTTGGTTTTCACGTAAACTGATTTAACAAAGTCTTGTAGATTAACATCAGGAAGTAGGTTAAACACGTCTTGTAACTGGTAGATAATCTGGTGATTGACAGGTAATTGTTTGGACGTAACTTTCTGGAGGTAACCATTAATATCGTTCACATGACCGTGGAGCCCTTTAAGACCCATCAGCTGGTTTGTGATTCTTTGTGACAGAGATCCTACTGTGGTATCCTTGATATCTCTGCAATAAAAGAAAACATTCATGTCACATCTTTATCACGATTGTATTTGCAGAAATATTCTCAAAATACCAAGTTCTAGATCTACATACTATTTTTTTTTTCATTAGCTGTGTGCTGGAACAATAATACATGTATATGAGAATGGCAAAAATGCCTTCTGGGAAAGCATGTTTATAATGAAGAAATATTGTGTCGCCAAGTTAAAATAATGGTAAAATAATAATTCAATGGATTAAAATGATCACTGAGTATACTTACATAATCTTTGACAAATATCTGTTGATAAAATTACTTAATATTGTGACCACTGAAACTAAAGCCAGAGTGCCCTGTCTGAAAAAGTTTTTATCTGCACTAAATATGCTTCAATAAGCTTTCATGTCAGTTTAACAAATTCAAGAGAAGAGACATGGCTCTTCACAACAAACTTAAATTTCCTTCACACAAGGAAACTGTGTCAAGTTTGGAAAAATCTTGCCCAGTGGCTCTGGAGAAGACAAGAATGTAAAATTAGAGACAAATGTAACTTGACACTTCAGTTCCATATTGGTTTTTTGGTTTCAGTTAATAGTTGTGTATCACTTGCTTTTTGAATCTAGATGTGAACCAAATAAATTTAATCTAGATTCTTATCACACCTTAAAAGATGTTCCACGCCTACTTCTTCTGCCTCCTCGGCCCCAATCTCACTGGGCACGTGGTCAAAGGTCTTACTAGTGGGGGTCCCATCCTGCAACACACAGAAAAAAAGGAGTACTTTTTACTCTATAACTGAAAGTAAGTTTAATAGCTTGGAAAATATACATCGTCTACATTTCCGTCATTACTGACCCTTATGTTAAGAAAAACATAACCATGTGTGCAACTGAAACTATTGGACTAAGGCTTAATTCCATGATGGTTAATTCTAGACTTTGAACTTTATATCAGAGTCCACATTCTGAAGATCTCTTGAAAAATGCACACACTTTTCATAACAGAACATCAGGTAACAAATCAAATGAACTTACATCATGGACTTCCTCTACAGCTATGTATGCCTCAGTCGGCAGACCTAGGTCTTTTGGTTTGGCATCAATGACAACTAATACCTGCAAATAGAGATGGAATTTACTTTAACTTAGCATAAAACAGATCACCAACACTTCATGAGAATGCATGCAGCAGTAGATTTATTTTGTTGACCAGTTTCAACCAGAAACGGTCATCATCAGAAGATGAGATGATGACAACTGTCCCTAGTTGAAACCAGTCAACAAAATAAATCTATTGCTGCATTCTAACAAAGTGTTGGTGATCTGTTTTATGTCTTTAAGTTTACAACTTTAAATACTGACCCTCTTGAATACTGTTTGGTATCCACACGTGGGAATCTTCCACATTTTCAACCTTTAATTGGTATTGGTTTCTAGCTTTTCTTTGTTTTTTAACTTAGGATAAAATAATCATTCCCATTTCTTAATGACATTTTCTGAATTCTTTTTGAAAATGTCAGTTAAACTGAATGTCAGTGAATGACTAGGCAATATGCCTAAGGAATAAAACACACTTGATGCTTCTTTTATAAACAAGAGGCCCATGGGCCACAGCGCTCACCTGAGTAACTTTGGCCTTGCTGTTTTTCACCTGATTTCTCTCCCCCCCCCCCCCCCCCCCCCCGTAGTACTTATTGTGGCCCAGCCCTATCCCCAGGGGTCATGGTTTGAACAATTGGAATCTACACTACCCCAGGATGCTTCCAAGTAAGTTTCAGCTTATCTGGCCCTGTGGTTCTTGAGAAGAAGATTTTTAAAGATTTTTCCTATATATTTCAATGTAAAACTTGGATTCCCTATTGTGGCCCCGCCCTACCCCCAGGGGTCATGATTTGAACAATTTAGAATCTACACTACCCCAGGATGCTTCCACATAAGTTTCATCTTTTCTGGCCCAGTGGTTCTTGAGAAGAAGATTTTTAAAGATTTTTCCTATATATTTCAATGTAAAACTTGGATTCCCTATTGTGGCCCCGCCCTACCCCCAGGGGCCATGATTTGAACAATTTAGAATCTACACTACCCCAGCATGCTTCCACATAAGTTTCATCTTTTCTGGCACAGTGGTTCTTGAGAAGAAGATTTTTTAATGACCCCACCCAATTTTTGTATTTTCTTGATTATCTCCCCTTTGAAGGGGACTTGGCCCTTCATTTTAACAATTTAAACTCCCCTTCACCCAAGGTTGCTTTGTACCAAGTTTGGTTAAAATTGGCCCAGTGGTTCTTGAGAAGAAGTGGAAAATGTGAAAAGTTTACGGACGGACAGACGGACGGACGACGGACATCGGGTGATCAGAAAAGCTCACTTGAGCTTTCAGCTCAGGTGAGCTAAAAAGGTAAGACTAAGACTTAAGTCTTGGTTAATCATAATCTCATGCTTCAAAAACACGTATAAAAAAAATCAAGCAATTAATGGTAAATTCTTCTAATTCACATTTAACAGAATCAAATTACAACAAAAGACTTTTGCTATGTAATTTTTTTGTGAAAGAGACAAATGGTTCTTGTAAATAAGTACAAATTGTCTTGCATAGTAATTAAGTCAACTTTTGAACACCAAATGGACAATAAACGAAATACTTACAGAATTTGGACAGTACCGTCTCAGAAGTTCATTGATGGCGACATCATTTTGGTGAAGCTTTGGGCCTGTATGATACCATCCCACAATTCTCTCACGGGCTGAAAAAACAAAACTGCAGATGAAATAATGTTTTCAATAAAATATAATTGCATATAGGTCTTCTCTAAATTCTTGAACAACCATACACAGTACAAGATTTCATAGGCTCCTGTTAAGGGCCGTCAGAGGGAAGGTGATATACTTTGAAAAGTGTAAACTCAACAACACTAGCCTGTGTTGCCACTTTATGTATTTTGAGATCTACCTTCTACAACTTCAGTTCATGGATATAACTTCTAACATGCAAAAAATTCAGTAACTCAATTCATGCATACAAGTTCTGCAACGCAAGAATTCAGTAACTGGATGATAATTCTACAACCATTACAGATATCAGTGAAATTTGTGTATTTTTGTGCTACATCAATTGCAAGAAATCAAATACCATGAAGGTGACCTAACTCAATGCAATATGCTTCATTACTTGATGAAAGGCAGGGGAGACAAATAGAATTTTGTAGTACTTCCCTTGGACAGGTTTCTATTGTAAAATTACTTGTTCTACCAAAAACTATGCTTGTCCAACCTTTTTCTTAAATATCATCATTAAATTATTTCTCAACTGAGATACCACACTGGGAAAATAATCAAAAATTTACAGATAATGGCACAATTTTGCTTTAAATTCAATGTACCGGAAGTTTTTATGATTTCGGGGGCGTATTATGCACTGAAATCAAGTATACCTGGAAATAACAATCTTTCAGTTCAAGTGTTACTTAAACTATACAATTCAATGATTGTTCCAATTATAACATATGGATCTGAAATATGGATTACAGACTATAAATTAGATATTAAATCTTCAGAATGTTTTCCATTTGAAAAAATTCAAAATCATATTCTCAAAGATATTCTAGGTGTACATAGAAAAGCATCAAATTTAGCAGTCAATGCTGAACTAGGTTCTTATCCACTTTACTATTCATGTTATGAAAACATGTTTAAATATTATATAAGATTAAGGAATATGGAATCAAATACCACATATAATAATGCACTTTTAGTATCACCTTTCAAAGAGGACAAAGAGTTAGCTCTGAAAAAGGGTTATACTTCATGGCAAAGCAAAATTTTCAATCTTCAACAAAAACTAAACTTGACTTCTTTAAATATTTCCCATAAGGATTTGAGGTTTAAGTTAAATAAAACTTTTGTTGATATGACCTTTGAACAATTGAGCAAAATCTCATCTTCTAACTCAGGAAAACTTTATTTTTATAGTAAAATCTTAAACTGCACTGGTTATAAATTGCAGGATTACTTAAAGTTTCCTTTAAAAAAGCATGAAAGATCACAGCTAACAAAATTAAGAATCAATGCATATTCACTATTCATTGAAACAGGTAGATACTGTAAACCAATAATCCCTAAGGAAAAACGTTTATGCTATGCTTGTAAATTATTGGTTGAAAATGAAAAACATTTTATACTTTACTGTCCTGTGTATGACAATCTTCGATTTCAATATTGTGATATTTTTGATGATAAATTATACTATGGTACTGATCCCATTAAAGAAATTGTTAACCCATGTGAATATAACACTACAAAACGTTTATGTATCTACTTAGATAAATGCTTTATGCTGAGGAAACAATGCCAAGGTCTATAAGGAACTGTGTAAAAATGAACTGCATGCAATTATAACATTCTTCTCTTTTTTTTTCTGTTACATGTATCTGTCATTTGATTTCTTATTTTGACTGTATGCCAACATGGTGATGTCAATAAACTGAATTGAATTGAATTGAATTTGTTAACTTTGATCTTACAAAGGTTGATCCTTTACATTGGGCCACCCCCAAGGTTCTGAGAAAAAAAGTATCGACCTATACCCTGTACATTAGGTACTGCTAATTTCTATGACTTTTCTGTGAAAATAACCTTTAATCTACTTTTATTGCTTTGAAGCACAGGAGGTACTTGTAAACATGATCTTGCGTCTACAATGCAATACCCTTAAATGATAATTTTATTATCACTTTTTAAATATAATCTTGATTTTAATCTCTACCCTTCAAGAGAGCTCTCTTTATATATCTATAAATGGGTAAAGAATGCGTCAGGGTTTAATTTTTAATGTAATTTTTTAAACAGGAACATGTAGATGAAGTGGTTAGATATTAAAAATAAAGAAAATTATTAAAAAATAAATAAATAAATAAAGAGATGGTTGCAATGTATCATAGATGCACAATCATGTCCCCAAGTACATGTACCTGTAGTCTGAAGAGTCAAACTCTTTGAACCTGTTTAACTACTCTTACCATTTACTTTTTTGAACATCCCGTACATGTTTTCCAAATAGTCATGGTCCAAAAACCACACAGTTTTATCTTTGTCATCTTCATCAAAGGGAACTAGAAATAAATAAATCAATTTATTATATAGCTAATAAATAGTCTATAATAAAAAAACTACTAAAAATCTAGAGAATTTTAGCATTCAATATCTTGGCGTTTTATTGAACGCTGAGTTTGTATTACGTTTGTGAGTATGCCCGAAACATTCCTAATACGAACGTTCAATATCTAACGCCCTGTTGTAAACTAAAAATGTAGTCTGGTCAACACCTCAAAGGCAAATTTATGATAGGTAGTGGCAGCTAGGTAAGATGTGTTTATTTTCATACAAAATTGAAATTATTAATTAATAATTTAGTACATATTAGCCTCCATAAAACCTCAGTAAGCAAAGCATAACCCTTGGTAGGGTAGTTGGAATGATGTGATATTGAACGCTTACAGGACAGACGTTACTATAAATACCGATAATGAAAAGTTCTTATTAATTTGAGTTATTCAATTGAAATAATTAACATAAATCAATGGGAGATGTTTTAGCTATATAATAAAGGAGTTATTGAACTTATATTGGTAAATATTGGAACTCGTTGGCCGTACAAATGCACTCTCAACTTGTGCATTTGTACAGCCAACTCGTGCCAATATTCACCAATATAAGAACAGGCAACTTGTTTCGTATACGGGGCACCCCTACTTATTTTTATCACATTCGTATATGGGACACCCCTACTTATTTTTATCACAAGGTACCTAACTCAATTTCAAGCACCCCCATTTCAAGCTTGTATTTTGTTCATATATCACTCATTAACTTACTTTAAAATCATATCGTTCACTTCGAGAGACTTTTTTCTTGTCCAATAAATCCTTTCAGCTTCCGGTTGGGGATACTTCCAAGTATTCAATTCTGAGGTCTCTGGATTTATCCTTCATTTATAACCTCAACTGGAAATTTGTATCCCATCTAAAGTCTTAACATGTATCGAGGTAATTTTCAAGGAATAAATGAGTGGTTTACAATAAAGAGGCTTGACCAGAGACGTCTGAAAGGATTTATTTGACAAGAAAAAAGTCTCTCGAAGCGAACAATATAATTTTAAAGTATGTTAATAATTGATATATGAACAAAATACGAGCTTGAAGCGGGGGTGCCTGAAATTGAGTTAGGTACCTTGTGGTAAAAATAAGTAGGGGTACCCCGTATACGAAACAAGTGCCTGTAAATATAAGTTCAATAACCCTATAAAACTATACCGTTTAAAAATTTTTTTTTTCACTCAAACGAGGAAGTATGTGACTTGGAAAACAAACTCAACCGGGTTTTAATTAACGTGCTTTTAAAATATTTTAAAACTTTCTCACGATCTCAGAACAAATAGATTATTATAACCTGCAAAGCTGTTTGAAACATCCAGAACCCCTTGTCTGTTTGCGCCTAACAATACACCAACGACTCTCTTTGCATTTCCAACCTTTCCCATACGATTAAAATGGTCTACCACACTGAGAAGAACTAAAGGATGGACAACAACTTTAGAAATTTTGTTCGGATCGCTGACAGGCATTTTGAACGTGAGCTATAGAAGTACTTTTAATATTTTGTCACGCCGGTGACTCGTCAACTTTTCGCAAAATGAAAGCAGAACAACTTCCGGTGTGAATATTATTGGGCACATCTGCATATAATACTTATATCAAAATTTGTGATAATTTTTCTAACATTTTGAATTAAAATATATTTAGTTCATCACAATTTTTTCTAATATATTGTTTTACTGTTGCTAAAATTTTGGACTATTTTTTTATGAACAACGTTAAAACGGAAGTTGTTATTCGTCCTCAATTGTTGACAGCTGCTAAGCAATGAATTTTTAACGTGGTTTTGTCTTTTATACTATTTTTGATAAAAATGCAGAATTGTTATAGTTCAAATCGTATTCCGAGGGAAAACATGCATGATCAAGATGAACGACTGACTAAAAAGCATATAGAAACCCTAGGGTTTGTCAAAGAAATAGCAGAAGAGAACAAAGTGTTGAAGCAGAAAATTGAAGAATATGAGGTATTTTGATACACAACTTTAAATATTCCTATTTATCGTCCTTTAATTTCTTTTATCAGACAATATCATTTAACATTTATCATACAATAGGGCACACCTATCGGAGAGTCTTTTTTTTTTTGCATTTTATCTCAAAATACATACATGTCATATGTAATTTCTTTGATATCTTTGATAAGAACTGTCAAGTTCAGCTAGTATATTGATATGGCAACAAAATCAAAGGGGTAGACTTCACTTTACCAGTCCAAGTCCATAAGATCTGCTCGCTTATCGCACTGTCGTAAGGTAGATTAGAGTTAGTCTCACATTCATCCCAGAGATTAGGGTTAGTCCTCATACACTACTTGACTGATTAGGGTTAGTCCTTGCACACTATTTGACTGATTAGGGTCAGTCTAGCATCTGCCCGGGAGCTTTGGGTTAGTCCTCGCATACCACCAGAGAGATTAGGGTTAGTGTCTTGTTTTTTAGATTAATAAATAAATTCAATATTGCCTCTGTATTTTTTTCAAGATCTTTCAGCTTCAGCGACATCTGCTTGGTTTGTTTACAATTGAAAAAATGGCTAAGTACGAATCAAAGAAACGACACTAAGCATGTGCAGCATGCACTTCATTGACAATTATTTTTGCCAATTTTTAACTGAATAAACAACAAATTTATTGATCAGAATGTTTTTACAGAAGAGGTAGAAAACTTTGTTTAAAAACAAAGTTTTAAACTAAATCTTTAACTGTAGAATTCAATTTGGGGGGTAAAAAAGGCCCCATACCTCATACTTTTTTATTTTTTTGATCTGACTCGCACAATCTCATATATATAGAAGTCACCTATGGCGACACTATATTTTGGCATGATTTTCTGGGGACAGGTAAAGTTAAGTCATTCCAATCAAAGTCTGTGAGGGATTTAACATTACAAAAATGGCTGACTTCCAAAAAGGATATCCATAATTATTCATGATATTCCATTGCCTGCTGTAATGAGGTAAAACATTTCTGGAACAAATTATATGTCACACTCTCATAATCTCTAAAATAACAACTACAGCTTCATTTCGCTCTTGACAACAATGGCTAAAATTTAATTTTCCAGTGTAAATTATGTCATACAAGTTTGTTCCCATGCAGTTGTAATGTATCCTAGCTGGCTAAATCTGGTTTGGAAATGAGGAAACTTAAAAGTTCAGTGAACAGTTAAGTTTATTTGATGACTTTAATGTGGTTGAAGTGCTCATGTGGGATAGATAGATTATAAAATATTTTGTTCTTATTGTCATTCAGATTGATTACACACATACAATTATTTTGTTAATGTGTCGTTACTGCATGCATCTGTACTATTATGTCAAATTTAATCTCTGCTCTTAGTGGGTTAAGTGTAGATTTCTATGTGGGCCTTTAATTTATCATACAATTTTCTGTCATTTTCCTAAACAATGTTGAGGACAAATATAAAATTGGATTAACATTCTATCATTAAGAAATGATAGAATTTCTTGATTAGATACCCTTCCTAATAAAACATGTCTCTAGAATTGAGAAGAGCTTAAGGTGCATTTTTTTATCTTGTCTATCATATTTTCTTTCTTCTTGCTATTTGGCCCCATGATTAGACGACATAGAAAAAAATGCTACAGGACTAGAGTGGGGTGTAGGTGTAGGGCAGGTTAAATCATTAAAGGTCAGTGGCTCTTTTGACAGGACACCTTTCTAGAGTAGCTGCATGGTTATAATTTTTCTCTGGTCTCTACCAATTTCTCCCAATCTGGAGCACATTCCGACCTTTTTTTTCTTATCTTTTACTAGCTAAAGACATTAAAGTGTGCAGAGTTACATGCCCTTGCAGAAGAGAGCCAGGAGAGGATAAAGAAGATTCAGGAGCAGTACCTTAAGAGAGCTGATGAGATCAATGCTATGATGGCAGAGAAGCATAAGAATGAGGTTCTAGTATATTCATGAAAAACGGTAGAATTAAACAAATATTAAATTATTGATGATATTAACAGTAAATAAACACTAGACTTTAGACTGATTGCTTTGGATATGAAGCTGAGCATATAAAAATCTGGTAGTCAAATGCCTATTTTTTTTTTGTGTGTTCCACTGTCTATCTCCAATGTTTTGCCACAGATGATGTATGCCATTGAAGAAAAATTAGACATGGAGAAGAGGAATAATGATGAAATTGCTAGAGTAAGCTGCTAGAGTTGATTATGAAAGTTGGTAGAAATATAATAACATATATATGCATGAAAAATGATATAATTAATTATGACATTATCTATCAATTGAAACAATTTATTGAGTATTTGAAATCTGTAATCAAAAATAAATTGATTATTTAGTGTGTAAATTTCACAAACTGAATTTGACTTCTTTCAAGTTTTATGCACTACAGTTGGCTCCACTTAATCTGAAAGTCATATTGTCCAAAAAATATTACACATTTCAGTGCAGACAAATAAATCAGAAGCCCAGTTTTACAGACATCGTATTAAAATTTAGTGTTTTATATTTGTTGTAGTATATTTCCTTTTGTTTGCTCACGTCTTTAGCCAATGGCCTGAGCTTTTCAGCTGATTAAAACTTGTCAATTGTCCATCTGTCTGTCTGTCCTCTGTTGACTTTTCACATTTTTAGCTCTTCTGAGCCCAAAGGCCTGCAGTTGTGTACACTTTTTGGAATGTGGTCCATATCAGATGTGTCACGGAGTGTCTTTGGGCAAAGGGTTTTCATTTGTATTATAAATTGGGATTTGGCCCTTAAAACAAGGAGAAATTAGTTGGGGAAATGTAGAAAAAAAAAATAGTGGTTGCTTAAAAAATCTTCTCATGAACCATGGGGCAAATTATATCCAAATATACACATAAGAATGAGGATACATTACCAGATTAAAAATTGTTCAAGGCATCACCCTTGTATCTCAGAACCTCATGTTAACTTAGTTGTAGGTCAGTTGACCTATTTTTTAGCTCACCTGAGCCAAAGGCTTAAGTAAGCTTTTCTAATCAAAGGGTGTATGGCGTCCAAGTGTCATATGTCATGTGTTGTCTGTCATCTGTAAACTTTTCAAATTTTCGACTTCTCAAGAATCACTGGGCCAATTTCAACCAAACTTGCCACAAAGCATCCTTGGGTAAAGATGATTCAAGTTTTATCAAATGAAAGACCATGTCTTCTTTCAAGGGGAGATAATTAAGAATTAATTAAGATAATCATACCTAGTTAATTGATGCATCTTAAGGCTTCAGAGTATTTCAGCAAAACAGTATGTCTCAGTGACCTTCTTTTGGAATTTAATGTTTCAGATACTAAGAAGCTTAGAATCATTAAACTTTGTCATTTGATGCATCTTGGGCCCTCAGAGTGTATCAACCAAAAAGTAGTTTACAGTGATCTACTTATGACATTTTAAGGCTACATCTAAATATTTCTGATAATAAAAGGCTTAGACTTTGTCAGTTGATGCATCTCAAGTTCTTAGAGTATGTGAACCAAAGAGTAGGTCACGGTGACCGACTTTTGGAATTTCACAGCTATATCTAAATATTTTGGATAATAAGAGGCATAGAGTTATTGACAGTTGTCAAACTTTGTCAGTTGATGCATCTTGGGTTCTCAGGGTTTGTCAATGAAAAAATAGGTCACAGTGACCTTTTTTGGAATTTCATAGTGATATCTCAATATTTAGGCTACTAAGAGGCTTAGAATCATCAAACTTTGTCAGTTGATGCTTCTTAGGTTCTAGAGGTGTGTCAGTTTAAAAAAATAGGTCATGGTTACCTACTTTCTGAATTTAACGGCTTATCATTATAAATATTGTGTCTAGGGTCACGAAACCTAAATTGTTCATGGATTTTGTGCCCTGGGATGTGTCAATTCAAAAGTAGGTCAAAGTGTACATTTTGAATTTTATTAACATTCATTGTCAATTCTTATTAATCTGGATACTAACAGGCCAAGGATCATCAAACCTTATCAGTCAATTTGTCTTGGGGCCTCGGGATTGACCCAAAAGTAGGTCACAGTGACAAAGTTATACAATTTATAAGTAGAGCAATTCTAGGCCCTTAGGTCTCTTGTTGATGTCTTCTCCAGAACTATGGGGCCAGTTGAGATCAAACTTGGCACAAAACATCCTTGGGTGTAGGGAATTCAATTTTGTTCAAATAAAAGGCCACTCTCTTTTTAAGGAAGTGGAAATCATTACAAAAATCATGAAAATAAGAGTGTGGTCTTCTCAAGAAACACTGAACTAGGAGAGACTAAACTTTCAAATCATGGCTTGCAGGGGTTATGATGGGACTACAGGAGGGTGTCAGATTTTTATATTGGAATGTATAGGATTTTTTTTTTTTTTTTTTTTGAATTTTCATCTTAGGAATGGGGGTGGGGGGTGGGGGATACAATTAGTCATATAGATATATAAACTTCTAAAGGGAGTGAAAATTCTTCAAATTAGTTAAAATCTTTGTCCACAAAGCTAGGGCAGGGTCAAGGATTTAGGATATATGTATAGGAAAATATAGGAAAAAAATCTTCAGTCATTTTACCATATGTCCGTTTTTTTTTTTTTTTTTTTTTTACGATGATCTATTTTTCACATTTTTAATTTTCAAAAAATAAAACATGCAGAAATTCTGTTGGTTATTGTGTGCCATACAAACACTACCATTTTTCTAAAAAAAAAATTTAAATTGTAAAAAAAATTAAAAATGTACAAATCTACCCTTTTTCGCAAAATTTCAAACACGTGAAAAAAAAAAAATGGATATACAGTATTGACATGTGTGTATCCCTTTTTAGTGTATATTCAAACTTGGTCAAATAAATCATGGTCACCATGCTAGGGTGGTGCCACAGTAGGAGGTCAAAGGTTTACACAAAAATATATAAACTTGTGCAAAAAACAACAAGATCACAATTTGTATGTTCAACATCAAGCCTCAATATAAAAATTGCAGAATTTGTAGAATTTCATAAGTTGATGACAAAAATAAGGATTCATTCCTCTACATAATTGTTTGCGAGAAAGGTAAGATTTCTCAAGTGAGCATTGTGGTCAATGGGTCTCTTTATTTTTTTTTAATTTAGCTCAAGGCTCGGATTCAGGAACTGGAGAAAATTAACAAAGAACTTCTTAGTAAATTGAATAAGATGTCAGAGTCTGATGAAAAATTCAATGTGAGTATCTGTATGTAATCTCTTTAATAGTATATCATGATCAAAGTTCTTACTTATTAAAATTTAACTAAGAAATACTTAACATTTTGATATGACTTTACATTTAATAAATGCTGCTCATTATATATCCTCTCAAAGGCTTTGTTCTCATGGAGACACTTAACTGTAGCATAATGGAACAGACCAGGGTTCATATAGTCAAGGCTGATTTAGAGTGTAATAAAATACAGTACGTAACTCAGATATTTTTATGCCCCCGTCCTGAAATGGCCCGGGCATAAAGTGTTACTGTGTTCCATCATTCTGTCTTCAAAGACTTTCTGTTCATTATCTCAGCAACAGTTGCACACATTCAACTGGATATGGATATGTCATGGGAATACGCAGGTCAAGTTTGAATTTGGTCTGATGATTTTTGACAAGTTATCCCTCTTGAACTTAAAAAAAAGAAGAAGAAATTTTCAGTTTCCACTCTCTAACTTTTGTAGAAATGTATGTATAAGGTTGAATTTTATATGCAGGTATTTTACCAGAAAATGGAGTCAAGTTAGAATTTGGTGATGGTCTGATGATTTTTGACAGAGTTATCCCTCTTGAAATGAGGAAAAAATAAGAAATTTTCAGTTTCTGCTCTCTAACTTTTGTAGGGAAGTATGTATAAGGTTGAAATTGCATATGCAGGTATTTTACCAGAAAATACAGGTCAAGTTCGAATTTGGTCATGGTCCGATGATTTTTGACAGAGTTTTCCCTCTTGAAATGAGGAAAAAATAAGAAATTTTTAGTTTCTGCTCTCTAACTTTTGTAGGGATGTATGAAAAGGTTGAAATTGCATATGCAGGTATTTTACCAGAAAGTAAAGGTCAAGTTCAAATACAATTTTCAAACTAAATATTGCATTTGAAATTTTGCTTGCTTTCAGGGGTATTCGTGGCAATAACAACACATCTATTTTTTTTAAAAAAACATATTCAATTTTCTTGACCAATATTTCAAATTCAGCAGTATTCAGCAAAGAAACACTCACGTATAATTATATTTACACAATTTTCTGATTGATTTTAGATCCTTCAAATGAAACTGGATGAAGAATCTAGGAATTCAAGAGACCTGAGAACTGAAAACAATACTCTGAGGGAAGCTATAGAGGCTTTAGAACAAAAGAATCTCTACCTCTTAAACCACAACGAGTCAGAACAACTTGCCAGGAGAAATAAAGAACTGAAACAAGAAATTCAAGAGCTAGTTCAAAAGAACACAGAACTGAACTACCGTATCAGCCACCTGGAAAAGGAAGCAAGTGACAGCAAGATGGACGAAGAAAAAGTCAAACTCATTGAAAATCTCAAAGTGAAAATTACACAAATGCAGACAGAAAGAGGAATTGCCAACGAAAGAGAACGACATTTTGAAAAAATGATTAAACAACTGCAAAATGAAGTGGAAACGTCAAAAGAACAGCTTGTCCAAACAGCATTATCAAAACAGAAACTCTTTGAGGAATACCAAAAAGTTTTGAAGGAGTTAGAAAAACTCAAAAAACAGTATGCAATAGATAGCCACCAGAAAACATTTAAAGACTTTGTTCAGTTAAAGAGACAACTGAATACAGTGAAAAATGAAAATGAGGACCTTAAACAGAAAGCCAAAGGGACAGGTAGTCTGCCAACTCTAAAAGATGAAGCTGTTACCAGTAAAAACAATAGTCATTTAGGTAGGCCATCTTCACTGAAGGCAGTAACTAATGGCCGAAGGTGATCATCCCTATCTGTTAGCCCTGAATGAAATGCCAGTTGTTTCCATTTACCATGTAGATAGGAAATGGGTATTTTTTCCCCCCTTGCCCTTTGATATTCATTCCACTTCATGACTTCTAATCAATATCTCTTATGAAAAGTAAGCTAGCAGATTAAATGCAGGTAGAATGTTACCTGATTTTATACTAATTGTTTAACTGACATTTTGAAAATGTCTAAGCCATCATTCTCCTCTGTTTGTTGCAGCTGTTGTGTTAATTCAGTTAAACACAGCTATGCACATACAAGTTAGAAGGTGTAGATCATATTACTCATATGTACTTTTATATACAGATTTAGAACAGCAAAAATGAAGTCTCTTATGATTTTACAGTTATTGTTAAAATAACATTTTGTCTCAGTATTCACCTTCTACCATCATATTTTGAAGAATTTTTTATTTCCCAACTGTAAGACTTCAAATTGTCAAATTATTATGGAAATATTTTCATTAGTGATATTTCAAATATGGTATGTCTATATATAGTCATTACTTTTTGGATGAAGGAAAAATGCATTAGGGCTCTCGAGTTTTACAAAGGAGTAGAAATATATTACAATAGATTACATATCTTTGCTTAGCATTTACATGCACTAAAGTGCAAGTATTGTTAAATCAATGAGATGTTTATTCTTTGACCATTTGGTTATTTTTGGTTGTCTATTCCTAAAATCAAAATCACTGTTATAATTTACTTTAGATAAAAAACAATTCTGATAGTTCATTTAGTGACATATTTATAGATACAAAAACCATGAATATTTAATAAAATTCTGTTAATAACATCACGATAGCTTTAAATATCAGATTTTTTTTCCATATTTAGGCCATTTTTAATTGTTATTCTCCAAGGTGATGAATTGAAAGTGGGTGCTAAATTTGTAAATAGCAAATTCATGAGTAACCAATTAGATTAACTGCAAAAAAAAATAATTTGATTTTAATAGGGTCTCCATGTAAAATTGGGCATTCCTTGTATAATTATCAATGTCATAAGGACTGTTTGATATTTTCAATATTCTATTCCAGTGTAGATATTCTCTTCTAATATTAGTAGATAATTGCTAGACTATAACGAATCTCATCAGGGATACAAAGGTTTCTGTGCTGCAATGCCCTCCTGTATAAATCTTGAACGTTGAAAACAAAGAGCTCTCTTTCCTATAAATGTTGTTCCAATCATCGATTACAGTAGAAAAATCACTCAATTGATTATTTTTTCCATTAATAAATCAACGGGGATAATCTGGAAATTTTTCCACTCTGGTTTGATTTTTAATGTAAATATAAAACATGTCGCTAAAACTCTTGGAAATAATTTATATCAATACAGTAAAGACATTGTTATCTAGATTATTTTAAGAAATGACAGACAAAACTTTCATGTACATGTAAATTTAAATTTGAAATGTAGTTTATTTCAGCTTCTAATAAATATATCAAATAAAGTGATTATAATCAATAATTGCATCGGAAGGCATCTCCGATTATTCTTATTAATCTGATTATTATTTTTCATTCGATTCCAAAACTATCTTCTGTAGATAGTTGGATAGACGGGATTTTGGCAAGAGTTATTTCCCATTAGCCGCCATATAGAAGGTCAATATGCCCAAATTCCTTCATTACTGAACCAAATTAAACTTGCCATTCTGGGCATTGATGTGCTAGATAACACTGTTTTTCTGACAAATGTACATTTGTTAAAGTCTCATTTAATTCATAGTTTTAATATTGGAAAGATTTTTCCTCCCATAAATTTTTAAAATTGATAATTCACAGTTTGACCTCCATGATGGCAACCAATGGGAATAACTTGCTGGGAAAATATGTCATATACTGTACAAATTATTCATAAAACCCCATCTGGTGAGAAAACTAACAAATTAAAATTATTTCTGTACATTATATAAGTAGACAATTTCAAAGTCTTTTAAATATTTAAAGAGGACAGAACTGCCGTCCACTCCCACAGAACATTGACTAAGACTCAGAAGTTTAATTGATAGTGAAGAATACGTTTTCAGCATTAGTATAAGTGTAAATTTTCTTAATATTGGAACCTTAAAAAAGCTCAGCATTATTTAAATGATTATATTTACATTATTTTCTCTATGTTAACAGTACTCATGCAGTTAAATGAAAGACCAATAATGAGGCACATGACGTATTATTTCACTTATCTGCATGTCACACATTGTACATGTACCAGCTAGTAGAACATGGCATACTGGGAGTTTGATAAGTCAGTCACACTTTGTTCATGACATGTATCAGTAGGCAAGGCTTGTATGGACAGAGAAGTAATTTTTTCAACTATTAAAACGTAAAATACAGTCAAACCTTGTTATCTTGAACTTGATGGGACCAAGCGTAAACTTTGAGATATTCTAGGATTCAAGATATCTAAGGTAAAAAAAAAAAGAAAAAGTGGTTGGGACTGCCAACTCACTTTGACATATCCCTAGTATTCCAGATATCGGTGTTTGAGACAACAAAGTTCAACTGTATATATGTACTGTATTAAATCACTTTTTATTTCCGAGAACTTTATTTTCGGGTAATTTTGCGAGACTACCTGCTCCTGAAAATTTTATTCTCGCTTATATTTTTATCAGTATAGATTATATGGTGCATATATCTATATAATAACCATGCATAATTTGTGAAAACTTTGTCTCGCTTATAAATACCAAATATCTTTCTCGCGAAAATATGGTGGCGCTAAAATTTGGTGATCTACAGTAATAACTGAGTTGTCTTTTGGGCTTCTGAGGATAATAAGTATATTAAATAGGTGCATTTGGTTATTCTCATATATTACCATGACATTCTCAAATAATGCCTGTGGCATTTATGTGAATTACATGTACCATATGTTTCAATGACTTATTAGCCCCTAGCCCCCCCCCCCCCCCCCTTCCCCAAAAAGATGGTTATTACTTTGTAATATAATGTCATATATATAAATTGAGATATTACTGTGTATACTAAAAATGTTTGAAGTAGATGCAATATGTACCAAGATTTTTTTAATTGTTTGGAAATTAAATTTTATTTTAATCTGTCTGTTTGTCTGACATGTCTCTAAAGTTTAAATTTGATATATATTTTTTAATTGGGGTAAAGATGTGTCTGTCTTAATTTTCCTTAATTCTCATTTTTAAATGAAAAGTATTGATGCACTTACACTAATTACAAGTTTATTTCAATTCCTATTTTTAGAAATCCATATCATCCTGTTGACAGATATAATATTTTAGGATGGACAGGATATGAAAAAATGGGAAATTATGTTTAATACTGTTAAAACTTCATCACACTTCCAATCTCCAAAAATATTCAAAAAAATGTAGTTGCTTAAGAGGAATGAAGTGGACTCTTCTGTATTGTGTTCCTGTATAATCAGCAGCACTTATAGGCAAAAGTCATAATAACATAGATTCTCAATATCGTCACATCATTTATATTGTGTTTTTCTTCGAAAACAAGTATGCAAGCAGTTGTATCATAATTTGAAATTAATGAAGATATTCCGGGATACAAGTTTCATAATACTCGTCATTTGATTCCATAAAATAAATATAAATAACTTGTTTATGTACTTTCAGTATTTAGTGTATTATCAGTGAAAGTAAATATTGTTTTTGTAGTGGTCTAGCTGGCATTTTGATTTCTCAGGACATGCTTCATTTATATGATATACATGTATATGATATTTATATATTTATTTGACAGCAAGGGTAATTTTTTTTTTTTTTTTTTTTTTTTTACATCTTAGGTCATATAGTAATTATCTGTTTCTACTCTGAATGAGTAGGATGAAAAATATAATTTTTTTATCTGTTTGTTTGCTATTTCATCTTGCATGACTATAAATTTTGAGCTAGGTATAACATAAAAATGCTTTTCAAAATAATTTTGAAAAAGTTTTGAGCTTTAACACTGAAGGTCTAGTGTGCACAGTTCAACACCATAGGCTCATAACATATAAAGTCAAAGCTGAATTTTTTCCACAAAAGACAATTTCATTTATTTAAACTATGCTAAATTTACATAAAATCTTTATAAGGAAAAAGCAGTTAATTCTCTAGCAAGTAGGATTGTTGGAATAACTGCAATATGTAACTGTCTTCAAAGTATGATTGTTTGTATAGATATTGCAAAATGAGACCACGAAAATCCTATATCTGCTACGAAATAATGAAAATTTGTTGTGTTTATAAGGTACGTCAGATCCATACATTTACATTTGGCCTGGACACATTTTGTGACTTGATTTTTCTAAAATTATTTTTTTAAACATGAACTTTATATTACAGGAGAATATTTAAATTATTTTCCAGTTTTATTGATATTTCATTCCTGTTTAATAAACATGACAGACTGACCAACAGATCTTAATTGTAAGACACTGCAACATCGCAATCCCTGATAAATCATGCACGATAAGTATTTCTATAGGTTAATAGTATATTGAACAATATTACACTTATAGCCATAAAACACATGTTTTCAATAAATAGGATTCATTAGTTAGGAATACTTTCCAGGTTTTACTATGTTACATAAGGTATTTAAGAGATACATGTAATTACTGCCGATCACTGCAATCGGCTTATAGCAATTCTTAGTGCTTCGTGGAAAAGAAAATTCCAGCGTACATCATATGTTATAAAGTCTTAGATGACACAATTCTATTGCTGTATAAGACGTGTTTATACTCTGTCTTCCTGTTTTGTTATATTCTATCATCATTTTCATATAGAGGCTATTTAGTGGGATTGTGTAACATAGGAAAGCACCTTTTAAATTATTATTATTATTAATTTGTTCCACTTAAGAATTATGTTTTATCAAAAAGAAATTACTCAATTATCCTCCTGACCAATTTTTTTTGGGGGAAAAGGATCATTTAATGGGTATAAAATTGATGTTACATATACTGTAATTTATGTTTAAACTGCACTTGAAGATGTACCTTTTGTATGGGTATTTGGTATGAAAAAGGTGTTTTGGTGCTATTGACTCTGCAAACAATTGTAGCTATTCTATGTAAAATATTTCTTGTCCTATGACATTGTACTGTCTGTGCGTTTTTGTAATTATAGTAAATCTACAATGTCTGTTTTGTTTTAAT